TGCCCTGCCGGAAGCTGGGTCGGCGGTTTGTGGGGCCGTTCAAAGTCCTGAGGAGGTTGAACGAGGTGTGTTACAGGTTAGAACTGCCCATTGATTACAAGAATATTAACCCCTCGTTCCATGTGTCTCTCCTCAGGCCGGTGGTAGCTGGTCCACTCCAGGACTATGAGATAGAAGAGACTCCTCTGCCCCCGTTGGACATCGAGGGGGCTCCGGCGTACACCGTTAGGTCCATCCTTGATTCGAGACGCCGGATGGGGGGTCTCCAATATCTCGTGGAGTGGGAGGGGTACGGCCCGGAGGAGCGGTGCTGGGTGCCGAGGAGGGACATATTAGACCTGTCTCTTCTGACCGAGTTCCATCGGGGTCATCCTACGCGCCCTGCTCCGCGTCTTCCTGGTCGTCCCCGAGGCCGGGGTCGGCGCACGGCTGGAGCCGCGCGTCAAGGGGGGGGTACTGTCACGGTTTCGGCCGAGGCTGCTCCTCCTCCTTGTTCGGGCAGGCTTCGGCGGTCGTCGTCCCCGGAGTACTAGCTACCACCGTTCGATGTTTCATGTTTGTTTGGTTTTGTCTGTTTGTACACCTGTCCCTTGTTAGTGTTTGATTTTGTTTCCTATTTAGTTATCGTGTGTTGGGTCAGGTGTTATGTGTGATTGTTATGTCAGCTGTTAGCTGTTGGTGGGTTTTCCTCTCATGTTGTTTGTTTTTTGAGAGTCCGCACTGCGTGCGCGTTTCTACTATTTTACGCACTGTTGTGTGTGTGCGTAATTGTTCATGCCTCCCGGTTGGGTTGGCCAGTTACCTGTTTGGAGTTATATTTTGGATCACTAAAGTCTGTTGACGAACGCCCTTGTTCCTGCGCTTGATTTCTCGCACCACATCCACACTCAGCATTCGTGACACTTCCAGGAATTGTTTACAGTTCCTTGCGACATGGGGCCATGCATTATCATGCTGAAACATGAGGTGATGGTGGCGGTTGAATGGCACAACAATGGGCCTCAGGATCTCGTCACGGTATCTCTGTGAATTCAAATTGCCATCAATAAAATGCAATTGTGTTAGTTGTCCGTAGCTTATGCCTGCCCATACCATAACCCCACCGCATTATGGGGCACTCTTTTCACAACGTTGACATCAGCAAACTGCTCACCCACATGACACCATACACGCTGTCTGCCATCTGCCCGGTACAGTTGAAACCGGGATTCATCCGTGATGAGCACACCTCCAGCGTGCCAATGGCCATCGAAGGATCGCATTTGCCCACTGAAGTCGGTTACGACTCCGAACTACAGTCAGGTCAAGACCCTGGTGAGGACGACGAGAACACAGATGAGCTTCCCTGAGACTGTTTCTGACAGTTTGTGCAGAAATTATTTGGTTGTGCAAACCCACAATTACATCAGCTGTCCGAGTGGCTGGTCTCAGATGATCCCACTGGTGAAGAAGCTGGATGTGGAGGTCCTGGGCTGGCATGGGTTATACGTGGTCTGCGGTTGTGAGGCCAGCTGGACGTACTGCCAAATTCTCTAAAACGACGTTGGATTCGGCTTATGGTAGAGAAATGAACATTCAATTCTGTGGCAACAGCTCTGGTGGACATTCCTGCAGTCATCATGCCAATTGCACGCTCCCTCAACTTGTGTGGCATTGTTGTGTGACAAAACTGCACATTTTAGAATGGCCTTTTATTGTCCCCAGCAAAAGGAGAAATGCTCACTAACAGGGATTAAAAAAGAAAAATGTGCACAACATTTGAGAGAAATACGCTTTTTGTGCGTATGGAAAATTTCTGGGTTCTTTTATTTCAGCTCATGAAACATGGGACCAACACTTTACATGTTGGGTTTATATTTTTGTTCAATGTATAACTAATAATAACAAATAAAAGAAAACAAGAAATAAGAGAGGGAGCTATATACAGGGTCAGTGCCAAATGTGCAGGGATACTGGTAGCAGTATGAATAGTAAAATAGTAAACAGGATGGCAGCAGCGTAAGTGGTGGATGGTGGGATATACATGTAAACAGGGCTGAAATGTGACTGGTAGCAGGAATATATACACAAATACTTGTGGTAATATATACATGTAAACAGGAGTAATAGTGACCAGTAGCAGAATAAATAGATAGGTACTAATGGTAATGGCAATCAATAATCAATGAACAGCAGCGTAGTGGTAGTAATACATCGAATCAATAATCATTTTAGCAGCAGCGTAGGGATGGGGGGGAGCAGTAGTTGTTACCCATTTAACAGTCTTATGGCCAGGGGATAGAAGCTGTTTAGGGGTCTAATAATACATAATAAATTTAATTTGTAATTTGATTTTCATTACAATAAGAATCTCAAAGATGCTTTAAAAACAAAACAAAAAATAAGTTAATTGAAAGTTCATGATGGTGGACATGATTCTAGATTACATTCCTGGAGTTCTTTGAGGCATTGCTGGGCTGTGCAGAGGTCAGGGATCAGAGGGATGGTCAGACAACCTCAGACCACCAGCTGGAGACCTGCCCTCCTGCTGACACAAGGAGGGTTTCAGCGACAGTGGCCTTCCCCTCTGGCTGAACCTACTGTGAAGTAATCCAACTGGAGGTTGGTTTAATCAGATTTCAGTCAAATGCCACATCTATACGTAATCTCACATGGCGAATTCTGGAAATCAAGAGTAACCCATGTCCAAATTAGTTCATTCAATAATATATATTTTTCTACCCAGATGGGAAAATCCAAGGAGTCTCCAGCTGTCTACACCTGAGGAGATAGAGCCCAAACAGTCTCAAAGCAGCAGGCATCCTCAAATCACAAAGTGTATGCCTGTGTTTCAGTCAGATGGTGGGTCAACAACCCACTCGTCAGACACAGAGGAGCGAGGACTCAGGTAGGGCTACCATGGTGAGCTCTACATCAGCAGTGGAGGCTAAAGTGTCAAATCACCCTCCCCATAATCATCCCCCCAGCACAGGTAGATTACACACAATAAGTATATTACACAACTAATTTGATGACATTCATTTGACCTTCGAAAATCACGGTGAATCCCTAACCACCCCCTCACCCCTACCAACTCGCTCAGAGGGCCCTCGTCACGTGTTGCTGATGAAACTCAGAGGAAGACTTTCAGAGTGGCGAGGGGATCAATAAAAGCATCAACTTCAGGACACACTCGTGACTTCAATGATGCAATTTGTTCCACATTCAAATAATAAAACGAACATGAACTTCAAATTAACAAATTCCCTGTCATTTTACAAGATATGAAATTTGGGCAGTATTCCATTTGTTACCGGTCTAGCTTTGAAACATATATATATATTTTTATGCATGTGACATAATTAGGCACGCCTCCATTCTTTTGTATGAAATCGCACAAACTCCAAACATGTCGCTGCGCGTGTTGGGATACCACTTTGCTCTGGAGCCTGCAGGCTTGCTGGCATGGTCGAAGGTGCTATTGGAGGGTCTAATTAGCTCCTACACCCTCAATTATTTTCCTCTCTCAGCTTTGGGACACCTGTGCATATGGTGAACGCGCAAATGTAAGGGCGAGGGTGATTTGGGATTCAGCCTCAAAAATGCTATTTTGTACACATGCATCTTCTAATTAAAACATTTTTCTATGGTATGCCCATGCCAATCTCACCCCTGCTGTGTCTCCTAACCAGAGCCTGTTGAAGCGGAGTGGAGCAGGGAAGACTTCCTGTCCTGCGGACACTGAGCTGGACCCAGAGGACTCACCAGTTTGTTCTTCACCCAGAGGTTCTGCATGGAGCTGAAGAGGGAGTTGCAGGACTAGAGGCTGAGGCAGACGGCACTAGCCCCGCATCGCTCTGGCCAAGGAAGACGCCAGGTACTGAGACATGATGAAGAGGCCCCTAGATCCAGTTTGAATCCTAACCCCCACACCACAAGGGACAGTTAAATGTACCCAGATTAAGCCCCAGAGAATCTCCATTGGAAGTGCTTTTTAGTCTAGGAAATCTGCCCTTGGTGTGCACGATGAATGCTGATATCGAACTCTGGTGCAACACAAGCTCTTCATTCAATTATAACTTTCCTTTTCCAGGTTGAGGAAGCTGTGGGAGGCAGAGGAGAGATGGAGGGAGGAAGAAGAGGATGAGGAGGCAGAGCAAGGCAAGGGGCCAGAGGATGACGTTAACGTCGCTCAGATGCCTGTGGCCTCCACAACCTCTGTGGTCATCACCAAACAGTCGCCTGCCCACAGCAGCCAAGAAATACTCCCAGATCACCCTGGAGTTTGGGCTAGATAGGACTGTAAAGCCTGTTTGCTAGTGCCAGATTAAAACAGACCTTTTCAGAGCGTGGTTTATCAAGTCATAACAGTCCTCTATGTCAACAACATGTATTCCACACAATTCTTCAGATAAAATAATTATCAGAATTACATTGGTGGGAGTAGTGTTTCGGGATCCACAGACATTGTTTGGTATGGATGCTATAGTTGGAGAAAGAGTCGAAGACAAAGAGTTCGGTTCTGCTGCAGCCTTCGCTGTAAAATATCAAGCGTGGCAGCGGTGCTTCGATAGTGCTTGAAGGAGAGGCACCCTTTAAAAAATAAGTCTGTTTAAGGCAAATTAGAAGAACCAACATTTTATTTACACAAACAAAAAGGTTTTTCAGCACGCATATTCAATATAGAAGAATTTAGGGTATATCAAAATACAGCTCTTGATTACGTTTTTTTATTTTTTTTATACACACCTGGCACCATATATGTGCTTAATAGTTAGGAAACACTACCTGGTGCCTTTTTGGTATTTTAATTTTTTTAAAGTAGTAGACATAGCACAGTTTAAGGAAAATTCAAAAAAATCTGTTGAAGTTACATAAAAACACTTTTCTGACACTTTGGAGTTGAGAAAAAAATTAAAAGTAACAATGCATAAACAAATTATTTTATTTTAGAGACTTTAAAAATTAGTCTCTTGAGCAAAATAGAGGGGGAAAAATGGCAGTTATGCAAATCGGTCTCATCAGTTGCTTGTTCTATCTATTAGATGGAGGTGTGAATGACATGAGGTCACTGGAGCACATTGACTGTCTCACTCTATCCATCTGATCAGGGGTGAACAGCAACAGGTCCGACTCAACTGGCTGGAGGAGAGAGAAGAGATTTAGGAGAATGAAATGGGGACAGCATGTTGATGAATTGAGAAGCATGCATACCTAATAGTAAAATTACGTATTTCAGAACACCAAAGTGAAAAGTTATCCAACACCAAATGGAATCATACATTATATATGCAAGAGAGAAAGGGGGTAAATCAAGGAAGTTAACCTTTGTGGTCCGTGGGGTGAACATTTGTGCCAAACTGGGAAACGCTGTGATGGGAGTGAGAAGGAGGGAATACAACAATGACTTGATAGAAAAAGAAAACAAATCCACCATAAGGAATACAAATATCCAGGACAAACCGTATCCAAGTGCCAAAACCCAGGTGTACACACACACACACGTCTGTTACCTGTGGGAATCAACACTTCCTCCCGAATGGGCTCTCCAGACGCAGCCACCGGACTCGCCATTTCTACGTCTATCGCCATGGGCGACAGCATCTCCTCGGCAACAGCCGGCTCCTGTTGCGACAGGCTGCAGCTTGCTACAGGTTGGAGGTAGCGCTCAAACTCCAACCCCAGAAGACCCTAGTGTATTTAGAGAAAAACAACAATTAATTTATGACTCTGGCAAGAGTTAAGAGATGCTCAGCTCAACTACATGACCATAAGTATGTGGACACCTGCTCGTTGAACATCTCATTCCAAAATAGTTGGCATTAATATGGAGTTAGTCTCCCCCTTTGCTGCTATAACAGCCTCCACTCTTCTGGGAAGGCTTTCCACTAGATGTTAGAACATTGCTGCAGGGACTTGCTTCCATTCAGCCACAAGTGCATTAGTGAGGTCGGGCACTGATGTTGGGTGATTAGGCCTGGCTCGAGTCGGCGTTCCAATTCATCCCAAAGGTGTTCGGTGGAGTTGAGGTCAGGGCTCTGTGCAGACCAGTCAAGTTCTTCCACACCGATCTCAACAATACATTTCTGTATGGACCTCGTTTGTACACAGGGGCATTGTCATGCTGAAACAGGAAAGGGCCTTCCCCAAACTGTTGCCACAAAGTTGGAAGCGCATAATCATCTAGAATGTCATTGTATGCTGTAGCGTTAAGATTTCCCTTCACTGGAACTAAAGAGCCCGAACCATGAAGAAGAGCCCCAGACCATTATTCCTCCTCCACCAAACTTTACAGTTGGCACTATGCATTGGGGCAGGTAGTGTTCTCAAGGCATCCGCAAAACCCAGATTCGTCCATCGGACTGCCAGATGGTGAAGCGTGATTCATCACTCCAGAGAACGCGTTTCCACTGCTCCAGAGTCCAATGGCAGCGAGCTTTACACCACTCCAGCCGACGCTTGGTATTGTGCATAATGATCTTAGGCTTGTGTGCGGCTACTCGGCCATGGAAGAAACCCATTTCATGAAGCTCCTGATGAACAGTTCTTGTGCTGACGTTGCATCCAGAGGCAGTTTGGATCTCGGTAGTGAGTGTTGCAACCGAGGACATACTATTTTTTTACACGCCACAGCACTCGGCGGTCCCGTTCTGTGAGCTTGTGTGGCCTACCAATTTGCAGCTGAGCCGTTGTTGCTCCTAGACGTTTCCACTTCACAATAACAGCACTTACAGTTGACCGGGAAAGCTCTAGCAGGGCAGAAATTTGACGAACTGACTTGTGGGAAAGGTGGCATCCTATGACGGTGCCCTGTTGAAAGTCACTGAGCTCTTCAGTAAGGCCATTCTACTGCCAATGTTTGTCTATGGAGATTACATGGCTGTTTGATTGATTTTATACACCATTCAGCAACGGGTGTGGACTGAAATAGCTGAATCCACTAATTTGAAGGGGTGTCCACATACACAATATATACAAAAATATATTCTTTGCCAAAACACTTACCTCAGTGACATAAGTATCTGGAGTCACTGTCACGTCGGCATCAGCTGGGAAGCTGAGGGAGACCTGGACAGCAGGAGAGGAGGGCACCAGGCAGGGGGAGGAGAGGGGAGATAGGCTGGCCTTGGTAGGTTTTGGCCTGGATGGGTTGGAGGAGAGGGTGAAGCTGAAGGCGGGGCTTCTGACTGGGGAGGACTCTGCTCCATGGGTGGGGGTGTGGGGCAGTGAGGGACAGAGGGGAAGCCTTGGTGAGATGGGTAGGCTGGTATCGTAGGCCTCTAAATCTTCTTCTCTGTCCTGGAGTGAGGGAGAGGATGGGATTGAGTGGGTAGCCACAGGGCTGCTCACTTCAGGCATGACCAAGAGCTCCGATTGGTTGGGCTCCTCTGTGGCCAACACCGATTGGCTGAAGGCTTCTTGGGGGTGTTCGTCATTGGTCAACTGTTGTGTGTTGGATGGCGATTGGCAAATTTTTTCAGACTCACAGCTCTCAGAGTGCTCCTCATGGCGAACAGTGGGCTCAGTAACAACCTCCGATTGGTCACAAGCTACATCTTCCTGCATGCTCTCGGGATCTGGTTGGTCAGGAGTGACTTCATTCTGCACGGAGACTAGCTCTGGTTGGTTGCTGGGGCCTTCCTCTGACTGGGTGTCCGTCAAAGCTTCTTTGACTGGTGAGAAGCAGAGAGAGACTCTGGTGGGGCTACTTTGGGCAGGGGCCAGGGTGCAGGACTGAGGTTCAGGATCAGGGGTACGGAGTGGGGTGGCATCAGATAGATGGGCAGGGGAGAGCCTGGAGCAGGCAGGGGTGAGGGTGGAGCGAGCAGGGGTTAGGTGGGGGAGAGGGAGAGTGGAGGGGTGTGCAGCTACAGCAGTGTTGGAGTGGCGGGTTCTGCCGGGGGTGGAGAACTTGGTGACAGAGCAGGGAGATGCCTGAAGAGGCCTGGCAGCTACACGGGTGGATCTCCTCGCAGAGCCTGGAAAGACAGACAGAGACAATACAGCAATCAGTCAATTCCCAACTAGCTCACTCCATACCGCTTTACCAGGTACCTCCAACACTGACAGAGGGAGACGTCAGCGGTCTTACAGGCCCGAGAAAACCCTCCGTCCTTTCAGCCTGTCATTCTATGCATCTTCCTCTGCCTCCATCCATATCTCTGTGCATCACAGCAGTTGAGGGGAAGAGTGGGTGAAGAACGGTAGAGGTATGAGTCTCACCTGTGAGTTTGGCAGGACTCTCCACCTGGAAGAAGCCTCCCTGGAACACCACCACCGGTGGCTCTGGGGCCTGGGTCTCTGCCTGGGGGTCCCGAGGAGCTGGAGCAGGGTCGTCCACAGCACTGCCTGGCCCTGCGGCCTGGACTGCCTTCTCTGCCTCTGCAGCCTGCTGCTTGGCCTTTATAGCAGCCTTGATGGCAGCCAGACGAGACTTGGCGGCAGCACCACCGACAGGCTTAGCCACCAGAGTAGAGGGCGGCTTCTTGACCACCTTCCTCTGTATTGGAGGGGGCTTGCGCTCCTCCTGCCAACCCTTAGACTCTGCTTCCTTCAGAGCACCAAACTTCTTGTTCACGTCCTCTACCTGACAGAGGAAGTGTCGAACAAGGAGCGAGAGAGGGAAAGAAGATGGGGTGCCCTTTTAGAAAGCTTGCATCCACATTTTCAACCTTTCAGAATGCTATACCAATCTAGGTCATCATTCTTCCTAGAGGAAGCTAGTATAGTTTAGCTTTAGTGTTAACAGACAAGCATAAACAGATTGCAACCACCAGTGTCTGTTCATCTAATTCTACACACGAACTGACACATACACGGTAGTAGACCATGTCATCCTAGTCACTAACCCACCTGGTAGTAGACCATGTCATCCTAGTCACTAACCCACCTGGTAGTAGACCATGTCATCCTAGTCACTAACCCACCTGGTAGTAGACCATGTCATCCTAGTCACTAACCCACCTGGTAGTAGACCATGTCCCAGAAGCCTTGCAGGTCGGTACAGGTGGTGATCTTCTCTCCTCTGCCAAGCTCACAGTCATCCACCAGGCCAGAGAACTGACCAAACCTCTCCTTCATCAGCAGCTTGGCTTGCCCCACAGCCGTACGCATACGGTCACACACTTCACACAGGGATGAAGATAAACACAGTTACAAAATGTATTGAGAAAAGGATACATTGAGGAAATGTGGTATGATGTATTTCACTGATAAATCCGAATCAAACCCTTATGATGGTTAAAACACATTTAGACACTCACTCTCTTCAGGGATAGAGGCATCATCCACCCTGGGCTCCCACTGCTGACAAAAGTCTGTCAGTCTCTCGGTCTCACTGACCACCACCGACCTGACAGACACACGGACAGACATTCACATATCACATGACAACACTTGTCTAGGTCAGGAACTTCGCTGTTGACTTGGTTTCATATAATATGTATGATAGTTTGTCAGCTAAAATGTAACCCTCACCTGAAGTATGGCACATCATGCTCTGGTTCCTGGGGACTCTGAGAACACTGAGGGGCCAGAGTAGGAGAAGGGCAAGGCGGGGAGTGAACAGGGGACTTAGCAGGAGAGGGAGCACTGAGCTCCATTTTGGGCACCAAGTCATCAGAAGCCCAGAGTGGCACAGGGGGTAGTACAAAGGCAGGGACACTGCAGAGGAGGATGAAGAATTAAAACAAGAAATGACAGCAAGTCATATTTTAATAAGCAGTAACAGTATATCAACCAGGTTTTCATAACCCGATTGATGTAATGCACCTAGTAAATATTAAAAGGGAATCTAAAATATGTTAGAGGGATACAGACTGATCAGAGAAGAGTGTTACCTGGGTTTAAAGAAGGAGTCTGCAGAGCGGGGGGTGAGAGGGGTGGGCTTGAAGGAGGACAGGCCTGCTGGGGCCTGGAACACAAAGCCCTGGGGAGCGAAGGAGGACGGGGTGGGGGCTGGAGGGTGGAGGGAGTCAGCCTGGGCTGGGACAGGTTCTAGAGCTGGATCAGCAGGGGCAGGGTCTTCTACCATCTTCTCCTCCTCTGCACTGGGGGGTGGGGGGCTGGCATCCCTGGGCTCCTCTACTGGCTCTTCCACTTTCACAGCAGCTTGCTTATTGCTCTCAGCATTTCCTAAAGAGAATGTCAAAATCAACATTTTTGAATGCAAAAATAACATGGGGGGGGAAAGCACAGAAAATGTTGTAGAAGAATAATGCATATGAAGCGTGGGATGTCAGCTGCCAATGCTCACCCCTGGTGTTCCTCCCTCTGCCAACAGATGGTGCTGCAGACTGCTTGGCATTTGATCTGGTCTTGGGAGCTGCAGCAGGTTTGTCCTTTGCCACAGGGGCCACAGAGACCGGAGGCCTATTAGCTGACCTTGTGGATGGGGCTCTGACTACTGGTTCAACTGCAGGAAAGTGGGAAAATAACAGTTATAAGTTACAAGTCAAGGATATGTTTATCAGGGTCAAATAATTGGCTAAAGAAAAGGCTTTGGGGCGTAATGTATAGAACAGCTGACAGATTGTTGTCATGGTTAGGAGTGGTACCTATAGCGATCCTGGTCCTCCTGGTTGACCTGACCACAGCTGGTTCAACTAAGACAGAACCAGGTAAAGGCGTCAGCAGGTACAGGTGTTGAATTATGCACACCATTCAATTATTATATAAGGTGGAAGAATTGTTTGAGGTAAAGTGGGGGTAAAAAAACCACCAACCTTTTCTTGAAGCAGGGACAGTGTCAATATGCTGTGGTGCCTAGATCAATGGAACAGAGAAAATACAGCAGATTGTCAATTATATGGTTATTCCAAAAAGCAGCTATTGTAGGTTGACTAAATAATGTAACAGAAAATCTTATATAAAAGATATGTGCAGAACAAATGTAGAATTGGCAGGAAAAAAAAATCACTTTGGGGTCCTGCTGCCTCATGGTTGAGCGAGTCACTCTGGTGGATTGGGGCTGGACCACTGTGGCTGTTGCCTGGTAGGAGGAAAAGGCAAGGCCACGTTATGGCAATGTAACACCACTAAATCCTTGCTTATACCTGGTGCTAACCGGCATCATTGGTACGGATTTTGTCCACAATCGGATTGTTCCCACATTTTCAGATGTGTTTACCCATGGTATTAAAATGTGTCTCTTATCCGTCCACTGTGTCCACATTTCCTGGTCCCTCCCTGTATGCAAATGTGACAGATGTTCTTTCAAAATAATATTTATTTTAAAGACATATTGCTGTCATAAGTCAATGGTGCCAGCTGTCAATGATTTAAGAAGGTGGGATGAGGATTTAAATGGTGTCACTGTCCAGATTAGTCTACACTTGTGACATACAGACAATGCATGCCCGACTACCTCCGGAGGTGGTCAGGAAGATCTGATCAAAATCAGATCACAATGTGTCTTTTGATCATTTACACCAGTCTACAAATATAATAATAATAATAATATGCCATTTAGCAGACGCTTTTATCCAAAGCGACTTACAGTCATGCGTGCATACATTTTTTTTTGTGTATGGGTGGTCCCGGGGATCGAACCCACTACATTTTACATTTTAGTCATTTAGCAGACGCTCTTATCCAGAGCGACTTACAGGAGCAATTAGGGTTAAGTGCCTTGCTTAAGGGCACATCGACAGATTTTTCACCTAGTCGGCTCGGGGATTAGAACCAGCGACCTTTCAGTTACTGGCACAACGCTCTTACCCACTAAGCTACCTGCCGCCCCAATATGGGCACAATCAGGACAAAGGACACGTTAGCACAGGTATAAACGTGGCTTAAGAACACCAGTTCTGTTTTTATATCAGCGGAGGCTCCTCAGAGGAGGACCATCCTCTTCAGTGAATTTCATAAAAATAGTTAAACAATAAAAAAGGTATCCTTTTTAGATACAACTATACTAAATATAGTCACATCACCAAATAATTGATTAAAACACACTGTTTTGCAATGAAGGTCTACAGTAGCCTCAAGAGCACTCTCTGGGGTAGCACCATGGTGTAGCCGGAGGACAGTTAGTTTCAGTCCTCCTCTGGGTACATCGACTTCAATACAAAACCTAGGAGGCTCATGGATCTCACCCCCTTCCATAGACTTGCACAGTAATTATGACAACTTCCGGAGGACATCCTCCAACCGATGAGCTCTTGCAGTATGAACTGACATGTTGACGCAATCAAAGAATCAGAGAATGAATCTAGTACTGAAAGCATACGCTACAGCTAGTTAGCACTGCAGTGCAGAGAATGTGGTGAATAGTTGACTCAAAGAGAGAGAAAGACAATAGTTTAACAAATAATTTTTTCCAAAATTAAGGAGAAGCAAGATAAAGAGCGCTAGCTATATTCCATTGTATTTTTTTTATCCACTTTCACTTATCCAGCTAGAAAATGCAGCTAGCTAATTTAGCCTACTCAAACAGAGGGATGCTATGTTAACTAGCTGGCTATCCAACACTGGAACTCTTCCATGTCAACGTAAGCTTTTGGTTTTATTAATTTAATGTCACCGTGGCCCGCCGGTGTAACTGCTAAACTGCACAATGTACTGCATGATTGTAGTGGGTTTATTAACACGTTAGTTCTAGTAGCTAACTATGTTGACTGACATTAGGTGAGAACGGTGTAGGCTGTGTGTAGCAGTTAGCGGTTATGGTATGGAAAGGTTTTTTCGCCTGGTCACAGACAGCTGTTGTATTTTGCACTGAAGCCTACAAACAAAGGGAAGGCTGTTATGAAAGTGAACTGTGTTTGCAGTGATCAGGGGTGTATACATTCCGCCAATTCTGTTGAAAAACGTTCCTTAAACGGAAGCAAACGGAACAAAGATAAACATACCTGAATTTGTCCAATATAACTAATTTGCAACTGTTGGACTAATGATTACACCCTAGATCAGCTAGATACAGGCAAGAGTGTGCAAGGCGGTATTGAATGTGTCACTGTCTGGATTACTCAATTCTCTCTCGACCTGTTGTAGCAACCTCATGATGGGTATAGGGACATTTTTAGTATCATGTAGTAGCCTAAACCTATCGATTTTACATTGAACTGGGTGAATGGAATATTAAAATAAAAAAATGTCCTCCCTCATCTTAAACGGCACTGTCTAATATGCATATGAGTTCTGGACACATCAAGTTCACCCTCTGGTGATGAGACAAGTAGATCTTCATCAACTCAATGATTGAACGGTGACTCCCAAGGACGATGGATATTATATCTATAGATATGTCAGCAGTATACCGAGTCAGTGTTAAGCTGTGCCCCCCTCACCCTGGCTTTGGTTGTGGCAGCTGGGGCCTGAGGCAGAAGGGCCATGGGCCGGTACAGCCCAACCTTGAACACCCCCTTCTTCTCCCTTGCCCTCTTCTCTTTCTCCTTCACAAGCTCCTTCTTCTCTTTGTAGCGGGCAAGCTTTTTAATTCGCTCCTCCACTGCAGTGTCTGAGAAAAAGAAGAGGGAGTTGGAGAGAAAATAGATCAGTGTGGGATTACATAACATTAGTGGGCGTGGAGGATGAAGAGGCATGAGGGCGAAGTTGGCTCAGGCGCATACATTTTTTTGACACGCCAGTTTCAGAGAAGAAAATATTCAAGCCAGCTAACCTGGCTACAGTAACGTTACCTAGAGAATACTGTTATCTAGCTTAATAAGTGATACACGAATGAACAACAAAATCACACACAAAAACAACAACTCACTTTTCACTTGTTTTGTATTCAGTGCTTTTTCTTGAAATACTGACACATGTTCAGCAACATACATGTCCAGTTGAGAGCATTCCAGTTCGGGGAGTTTGTCAAGCTGCCTGCGGCTGTTCAGGGCCTTGTGTCGGTTCTCCTTCTGGGACTGCGACCGTCTCCGAGACATCTTCACCCGCAGCATGTCCACACTGGTGTCACGCTGACGCATGTGGCCGAAACGAGCTTCCATGGAGTCCATTATCCTTTGACAAATATACATGTAACTACTAGCTACTTATACGTTTTACAGACAAATGCATATTGATTATCGTGTGGCTGTATATTTAGAAAACGTTAACTAGCAAGCAATGTGCCAAACAAGTTAAGTTAGCTGGCTAGCTAGCTTACTAGCGGCAGTCACTGTTGGTCACTGACGCTTAATATGCTCTACCTAGTCATGGGAAACATTCACCAACAGATGATTTTATCAATGTGCACTCTTACCTGTTGAAAAAGTAATTATTATTGGTGATTTCCAAGTTCTAGCAGTCCAGCTATCTAGCAACCTTTACGGATTGAAGTCCTCGGATAAACGACTTCCAAGTTAGCTAACTAAAGATAACAACATCGCGGGTCAGTTTTGAAAAGTCTGCCTGGCAACGCGGATTGGCTGATTTTATGATTTCCGGTCGGGAGCGCCGCGCTGATAGGCTAGAGATTTCGAATTTTTTCTTCGGTACTTTGAAGTATGTGTTTGTGGCTTCATATATAGTCATTGCTTTGTGAGCGAAGAAAACACACAAAATAAAGATACAACTGTAATTTATAATTTCACTATCTCTCTTTCTGGGCCTCTGTCCCTGGCATTATTCTCATTTAATGTACTGAACATAAAGGTTATTCTATGTCCTAGTCCTATGGAATTTAACTGTTTCTCACACTCATCTCTCCACTTTGTTCATTTCAAATTTCACCTTGTAATGTGATATCATAGCCTACTCTCAACACACAGCAGACAACTAAAGGACGGTCCCAGTGTCATCAGCAGCACACCCATGAGACAGACAATATCTCCCTGGTGAAAAAGACTGTGCACTTCATTTATGTGAGCTAGTTTCACCAGGGTCAGATCACCCTACCCCCAATCATAACCTCAACCAGTGGGGTGATTAAAAAATATCTGACCCTGTATCAGTTAGGCACCTACTTGTGGCAAGATCTAGGCCAGATGGAGTAGGATGAAGTTGCCCCTAGACGCTGATCTTAAGTCAATTTAGCATTTTCCTCAACAATGGTTAAGGTTGAATAGGATTGGGGAAGCTGATACTAGATCAGTACCTAGGGGAAACTTCATTCCGGAGCAGTCTGAACCATTGGTGGAGGGACACTGGGACATTTTGGGTAGCAAAAGTACATCTCAGTTCGTTCTAGACCTTTTTAGGCTGTCGTTTACAGTAAAAGAAATAAATGGGGTACATGGAGGAAAATTAGAATTTCTTAATTTATTTAAAGTTGGGGCTGCATTTTACAAACCACATTACTTTAGACATGAATCATAGCATCTCATTTCAAAATTATACAAGACAAAGAACAGAACCCATGGAAGGAAAACAGCATGTTTGTCTGTTTTAAATTAATATAGTGATAAATGTCATGGTGTGTCCTTAAAAACAACAACAAGTAGAGTCAGTAGACCAATGATGTCAATTGTAAGATAAACAGCTGACAGGAACTTAAACAAGACAATGCACTGTATCTACAAAGAAATAGAAAAATGAAGTACAAGTACATGTACAGTAAAATTACTCTGATCATTTGACACTTAATTACAAGAATGAAAATACAATTTTGTATTGGTTAAATAAAAATCTAAAGAAATTACATGATGTGAAAAGCTTCTTTATTTAATTGTTTACAATACATACGGTAAGAGATCAATGGAACACCGATGGCCACGCACCCGTAGGGGATAGCACAAGGACACCGTCATTGGTGCCCATTCAGAAAAGCTGATACAAAAAAGCTGATATTTGTCAAATCCATCACAATGTACAGCAGTCACTGGTGAATGTCTACACACCCTTTGGAGTCATCACATTTTGCCTTAATTAAATCTAAAAAGGGATTACATTATTTTTTCCTATCGATCTACGCAACCTACTCCACATTTCAAAAGTGAAAGAAAAATGATAGAGAACATTTTCCAAATTACTACGAAATACTAAATTAGGATGTATTGAATGCTTATGTCTTCACACCCCTGAGTTAATACTTGGTGGAAGCACCTTTGGTAGCCATTACAGCTGTGAATAATACTTTTGAATAAGACTCTACCAACCTTGCACAACTCTTATGGCAAATGTTCTATTGTTTTTGTCAAATTTGCTCAAGCTCAGTACATTTGGTTGGGAATCGTGGACGGACAGCAATATTCAAACCTTGTCTCTGATATTTTAAGCAGATTTAAGTCAGGACGGAGACTGGACCATTCAGGAACACACAGCACCACTTGGAAAGCCATTTTGTTGTGTCTTTGGCATAAACATTTGTGTAATTGTCCCGCAGAAAAATACAACTCTATCCCAGGATTAGGTTTTCAGAAGACTGAGGCAGGTTTTCCTCTAACCTTTTATTAATTTGGAAAATGTTCTATAACTTTCTTTCACTTAGATAATGTGGAGTAGGTTGTGTAGATCTGTAGGAAACCAAAAAAACTATTTAATAAATGTTTAGATTTAATGTTAAGGCAGCAAAATGTGAAGACTGTGCAAGTGCTGTGTATACTTTCACTAGGCACTGTACGTGTTCTAACAGGCCTATAATGTGGTTACTAAATAGATTCTGGACCTATCCCCCATGGGGGGACGGGTGTGTGGCGTTTCCATGGTATTAGTCGAACTCTTACCTAATCTATGCAATTATTGCATTACACTGATGCTGTCATAATACCCTGCAATGCTGACAGTTTTAGTGTGGTGAAACAGTCCATTGCCCTCTCACCGTCTCTCTTTCTCTCCCTCTTCTGCGTGCAGTTCTTTCTTTTCTTTCTTTCTTTCAGTCCAAGAAGAAAATGTTGTTGAACTGTGTCGCACAGAGCCTCTTCACTTCCTCTGTTGGTAGAAAAAAAACAGGGTTGGATCAGCAAGCATAACCAAGAAAACATGTGAGATGAGCTCAAAGAAACATTAATTAATCCATCCATCTATCTACAGTGAGGGAAAAAAGTATTTGATCCCCTGCTGATTTTGTACGTTTGCCCACTGACAAAGACATGATCAGTCTATAATTTTAATGGTAGGTTTATTTGAACAGTGAGAGACAGAATAACAACAACAAAAATCCAGAAAAACACATGTCAAAAATGTTATAAATTGATTTGCATTTTAATGAGGGAAATAAGTATTTGACCCCCTCTCAATCAGAAAGATTTCTGGCTCCCAGGTGTCTTTTATACAGGTAACGAGCTGAGATTAGGAGCACACTCTTAAAGGGAGTGCTCCTAATCTCAGTTTGTTACCTGTATAAAAGACACCTGTCCACAGAAGCAATCAATCAGATTCCAAATGCTCCACCATGGTCAAGACCAAAGAGCTCTCCAAGGATGTCAGGGACAAGATTGTAGACCTACACAAGGCTGGAATGGGCTACAAGACCATCGCCAAGCAGCTTGGTGAGAAGGTGACAACAGTTGGTGCGATTATTCGCAAATGGAAGAAACACAAAATAACTGTCAATCTCCCTCGGCCTGGGGCTCCATGCAATATCTCACCTCGTGGAGTTGCAATGATCATGAGAACGGTGAGGAATCAGCCCAGAACTACACGGGAGGATCTTGTCAATGATCAAGGCAGCTGGGACCATAGTCACCAAGAAAACAATTGGTAACACACTACGCCGTGAAGGACTGAAATCCTGCAGCGCCCGCAAGTTCCCCTGCTCAAGAAAGCACATATACAGGCCCGTCTGAAGTTTGCCAATGAACATCTGAATGATTCAGAGGAGAACTGGGTGAAAGTGTTGTGGTCAGATGAGACCAAAATGGAGCTCTTTGGCATCAACTCAACTCGCCGTGTTTGGAGGAGGAATGCTGCCTATGACCCCAAGAACACCATCCCCAACGTCAAACATGGAGGTGGAAACATTATGCTTTGGGGGGGGTTTTTCTGCTAAGGGGACAGGACAACTTCACCGCATCAAAGGGACGATGGACGGGGCCATGTACCGTCAAATCTTGGGTGAGAACCACCTTCCCTCAGCCAGGGCATTGAAAACGGGTCATGGAAGCCAAGGAAACAAAGGAGTGGCTCAAGAAGCCCATTAAGGTCCTGGAGTGGCTTAGCCAGTCTCCAGACCTTAATCCCATAGAAAATCTGTGGAGGGAGCTGAAGGTTCGAGTTGCCAAACGTCAGCCTCGAAACCTTAATGACTTGGAGAAGAGGAGTGGGACAAAATCCCTCCTGAGATGTGTGCAAACCTGGTGGCCAACTACAAGAAACATCTGACCTCTGTGATTGCCAACAAGAGTTTTGCCACCAAGTACTAAGTCATGTTTTGCAGAGGGGTCAAATACTTATTTCCCTCATTAAAATGCAAATCAATTTATAACATTTTTGACATGCGTTTTTCTGGATTTTTGTTTTGTTATTCTGTCTCGCACTGTTCAAATAAACCTACCATTAAAATTATAGACTGATCATGTCTTTGTCAGTGGGCAAACGTACAAAATCAGCAGGGGATCAAATACTTTTTCCCCCTCACTGTATGTTGGACCTACCATTAACTTCAATCAAATTGGCATTCTTCTGGTTCAAGATAACGTACAGCTCTCTCTGGTCCGACTTTTTGCCAACCACCCAGTAGTCTGTCATAGCCTTCACAATGATCTCTTCATCTTCATCAACCCTGAGGCAACATACAAAAATCACATTAATATATGGACACTATAATATGCTGTATATACACTACCAGTCAAAAGTTTTAGAACACCTACTCATTCAAGGGTTTTTCTTTATATTTACTATTTTCTACATTGTAGAACAATAGTGAAGACATCAAAACTATGAAATAACACATATGGAATCATGTAGTAACAAAAAAAGTGTTAAACAAATCTAAATATATTTTATATTTGAGATTCTTCAAATAGCCACCCTTTGCCTTGATGACAGCTTTGCACACTCTTGGCATTCTCTCAACCAGCTTCACCTGGAATGCTTTTCCAACAGTCTTGAAGGAGTTCCCACATATGCTGAGCACTTGTTGGCTGCTTTTCCTTCACTCTGCGGTCCGACTCATCCCAAACCATTTCAATTGAGTTGAGGTCGGGGGATTGTAGAGGCCAGGTCATCTGATGCAGCACTCCATCACTCTCCTTTTTGATAAAATAGCCCTAACACAGCCTGGAGGTGCGTTGGGTCATTGTCCTGTTGAAAAACAAATGATAGTCCCACTAAGCCCAAACCAGATGGGATGGCGTATCGCTGCAGAATGCTGTGGTAGCCATGCTGGTTAAGTGTGCCTTGAATTCTAAATAAATCACAGACAGTGTCACCAGAAAAGCACCCCCACACCATAACACCTCCTCCTCCGTGCTTTACGGTGGGAAATACACATGCAGAGATAATCCGTTCATCCACACCGCGTCTCACATTTCCACGGTCTAATGTCCATTGCTCATGTTTCTTGGCCCAAGCAAATCTCTTCTTCTTATTGGTGTCCTTTAGCAGTGCTTTCTGTGCAGCAATTCGACCATGAAGGCCTGATTCACACAGTCTCCTCTGAACAGTTGATGTTGAGATGTGTCTGTTACTTGAACTCTGTGAAGCATTTATTTGGGCTGCAATTTCTGAGGGTGGTATCTTTAATGAACTTATCCTCTGCAGCAGTGGTAACTCTGGGTCTTCCATTCCTGTGGTGGTCCTCATGAGAGCTAGTTTCATCATAGCGCTTGATGGTTTTTGCGACTGCACTTGAAGAAACTTTCAAAGTCCTTGAAATGTTCCGTATTGACTGACCTTCATGTCTTAAAGTAATGATGGACTGTCATTTCTCTTTGCTTATTTGAGCTGTTCTTGCCATAATATGGACTTGGTCTTTTAACAAATAGGGCTATTTTCTGTATACCCCCCCTACCTTGTCACAACACAACTGATTGGCTCAAATGCATTAAGAAGGAAATAAATTCCACAAATTAACTTTTAAGGCACACCTGTTAATTGAAATGCATTCCAGGTGACTACCTCATGAAGCTGGTTGAGAGAATGTCAAGAGTGTGCAAAGCTGTCATCAAGGCAAAATATTATTGATTTGTTTAACACTTTTTTGGTTACTAGATGATTCCATATGTGTCATTTCATAGTTTTGATGTCTTCAGGTATTATTCTATAATGTAGAAAATAGTAAATATAAAGAAAAATCCTTGAATGAGTAGGTGTTCTAAAAGTGTACAGAGTTGCCAAAACTAGGCCTCAGAGTGCTAACCCTAACAGGGTTATTGTGGTATTTCATTGGGCTTACCGGGCGAAGTCACAGTTGATGTCTCCCAGAATCTTCATGAGGTCTGGGTGGACGGAAGTCAGAGAGACGCTGGCTGTCTTCCTCATGTGGATGGTGCTCTTCTCTGCCAGGTTCATGTGGTTGAAGTAGATGAACTTAAACTGGGGCTCCTTGTCCGGCCTGCAACAACACAGAGGGAGAGGATGACGATCATTACCAGGATGACAGGAGAGTCGAATGCCAATTTCACACTACTGAGCCCGAGATGAGCAGAGCCAAGGAGATCTGTACTGCGCTAGCCTCTTTTCGCATAAAAAAATAGTTGCTGGAACCATACTGGAAAGGCCAATATGAAAATAAAATATCTGAGCCAGCACAATGTTATTTCAAAGGTAGACTCAGTGTTATGACATTGCCATGAGCAGCACTACAGATATTGAGATGAACGCGATGCAAGACTTTGCTCTCACATATTCACACAGAGTATCTGCGCAGGTGTGCTTCACGCTGCTACACTGGGTAGCTACGGGACCAAAACAGAGGAAAAGGTTAGCTTCGTGCTTCAACGCTCTTAGTGGTTGCATAAATCGGCCCGATATTGCTGTGTATTTCGTGCATCATTGAGTCTACCTTTAAGCAGTATTACACCTCAGGACCATCATCAGTTTCTCCAGGTCATTGAGTTCATTGGTCCAATCGTCAATAGAGGATGCCGTGCCATGAACGCTTACCTTTTAAAAACACATTATACATTTTGGACCGTGATCTCTATCATGGCATGTTGGAACAACACAGGCCCAGGAATTGGAGTGGAGGCTAGAGGTTTTGAGGATTAAAGTAACAGTACTGACCCTGATATCCTGCGGTTGACATTGTATTGTTCACATATGTCTGAGGCCAGCAGGGTGAGCTGAGGTCCCACCAGCCCATCCAGCTGCTCACAGAACTCCCTCGTCAGCTCCACCGATGCTGGGGGAGAGAGAATATGACCATACAGTAGTTAGAATTAGTAGAATGGACTTAGGAATTTCTAAGAATCTATAATGGTTTTTTCTTTCACGGTCCACATAATATGACAATGCCGTAGAATTTGCCATTGCTGTATTCGCAGAACACAGAGAATGCTGAGAAATGATGTAATAAGCATCAGCCCAGCTGTTTGGGGGGAGGAGACTGACCAAATGATTTGAGAGGATACTCACCACTGATCATAAAACAAACCGCTGCACTCATCGCCTGAAATAAAGAGCAGACGATGTGCAGTTTGAATATAATGGTCTAGAGAAAATAACCCTATAATTTAGAGCTTATGACCAAATACATTGAATTTATACATCATTTAAGGAAGCCATTTGAGATACCAACGAACAAAGCCAATTCCCCCAACATCAGAGCTCATACCGGGTCAAACCTTCTCACTGTTCTTCAATTATGAAATAATAACAGATTATCAAATTGTCTGCCAAACAAATAATGGGATGGGAGTACTACCTGTATCTCTCTTAAAACACAAAAAAATAAAGCCTCTACTGAGTTCCCACGAACCCAGCAGGACTCCAGACCACAGTTCCCTGCTCCTTAGTTGTGTCCCAAATGACACCCTAGAGTGCCATTTGGGACGACGCCCTCTCCTCACCTTATAAACTATCAGATGCAGCTCCTCATAACTGTCCTCTGTGTTGACAAATATTCTAGGGAACCGGAATTTGGCCTCTGGGTCTTTGAGGTTAACAGGTCCTGTCAAAAACCTGAGGATGGAGAGAGGACAGGATATGAGAGGGAGGATGGATCACAGCTCATCACGATTACTGTGAATGACAAGGGTGTTTCACAATTACAGAAATCTAGTTTGATACAAATAAAAAACAGTTTTACCTCACACATAATAGCATAGAAAATTCCTGAGACAAAACATTTAAGTGATGCAGGCCTAAAAATGAACAGATGAATCCCCAAGTCTATCTAGCAGTTTGTAAATGTATATGTGGACGTACAGTGTGTTTGCATACTGTGTGTGTATCTCTTCCATAATTTGCACTGTCACAGTTCTCCCCTGCCCTTGGGGCCTTTGCTGGCTAATCTTCTTGTTAAATGATTCTCTCTCTCTCGTCAGCCCAGGCTTGGCGTGTCCAATTCCCCTCAAAGTCACACGGGCCTGGCGGCAGCACACTCTCAGGGGTCACTCCTCCAACAACGGCTCTATTTCAATGCTTAGAAAAATGCATTTATATTAAGTGCTTGTATTCTGTCTTCTCTGTGCTTCTATTCAGATCTAAATAAAGATTGTCTGTGTGTTTGACAACTTTCTGCCAAGCAACTTGCCCTAAGGGGATGACCTCTTAATTCTACCCATTCTTTGAGATCATTTATTCCCTTCCCTTCTATGAGGTAATCACTGATCTGAACAGACGGGATAGGTGAAAGCCATGTAGTGGAACCCCTTCTTTCCTCTTTACAGCCATGTTGAATCAATGTTTGGAAGGGATGCAGGAAGGATTCTGTTTTAGAGTATTCATAGAGACTGTGGAGCACCTCTGCTAATAATCTCCTCCGCCTCCTCTCTTGCGCTCTCCTCTTCCTTCTCTCCCCCTCACTCACTCTCGCTCTCCTACTTGGCCCACCTCAGGCACAGAGGTCTCTAGGGTGGACTAGGCTACACAGGGACTCCGTTAACTAGCTTGGCTCTCCCTCCTCCTCTCTGTTAAGTGTGATCCCCCTCCTTTGTGTCTTGTGTGTGGGACGGTAGAGAGCTACAAATCTCATTATTGTCAGCGGGGTAAGACCACGTCATGTTGGAACACTGATCAGTAATTCTCCATGTTGTTAAACAATCAGCCTGGATATTATATCTGCCTGGCCACCAACGCACTTTAATTACAACCTAATGCTACCATAATGACACTTTCCTATCATACCAAAACTATCAAAAATACCCCACCTCCTATTGTGCCATTACTGTTGATTGCTTTCACTTGATAATCTAAAACAATATAATTCTTCCATCACTACGTTGAAATAACAATATATCCAATAAAAACCATCATGGATGAACACGATAAAGTCGCAATTCCATCCATCCCCTCTTCTCTCCATTGCCTCAGGTTAAATGTATCAGTCTGCTATAGTCAGATTATCAGCAGATGTGGCATGGCTAGAAGGCTCCACCCTGACATGATGATCTGGTGTCCCTGTCCTTCTGCCCTGAGATGGCAGGGGACCAGAGCCCCAGGGAGGGAGCCTGGCCCAGCCTGGAGACCTGGAGGGAGGGAGGGGACTAGAGAGGGCATTTAAGGACTTACCTCCCATAGTGAAGCAGATTCCCTGCCACCTCTGGCCTTAGGGGAGAGTCCCTACCAGCCAGCTGGAGAGAGAAAGGGAGGGTGGGGAAGAGAGACAGGGAGGGAGAGAGAGTTAGAAGAGAGATGGTGGAGAGAGAGACAGAGAAAACCTGCTTTAGTATAAATTCAAAAGTCATTATCAACATTGTCTGAGCCTGTGGGATATCAATGTGTGGTCAATTTTAAATGCGCTTGTTACACAACAATACATTCTTCGTGTGGCATGATGCCATTGTGGAGCAGGTGTTGGAAGAGTTCTGGCAATGTTGAGGGAAGGTTTAGGCAGAGGATCAGAGTTTCAGTAGAACAGAGGCAGGGAAGTGGCAGTTGCTTGCACTCTAGCTCCATCGCTCTCCCTCTCTGATCCCTCCTTCTCGCTCTCTCTCACCTCTGGTTCGGAGTGTCTGGGGAACAGTGACGTCGTCAGGTACTTGTACAGGATCCGCATGTCATCCTGCTCCAGACCACTCCTGCATGGGGACAACAAAAAAAGGGGACACCTTAGTTAGCATCAAACATTTCCTATTCATGTTCACAGTCTGTTCAGGAGTATTGATAAACTAAACCCATAATCTCCATGGCTCAGCATGGGCCCAATGCTATCATAACTGCTCAAATAATTTGATTAGCAATCAATCAAATCATTACGATCAATCAATTATCGTTCACGTAATCCCCTGATTACATTTCAGGTCAGACTGACAGTTAAAAGTGAGCGACATGTCAGGTGGGAATTACTGTAATCAGATTGTGTATATTTAAGGCATCTTCTGTGTCTCCCAGCCATGCCCTAGACAACCTCATACCTAGCCCAGCCTAATGGGATGAGGAGCATTGGAGGGATGCCTGCCAACTGCTGCCAGGCTCCCCCACACCTTACAGTGGTAAAGGGCTGCCTGGAGGCACCAAGGGCCTGCAGGCTATTTATAAGATCAGGGCCCTGGCACGCACAACACAGGAGGGGAACCCCAATAACCTCCCCCCTCCTCTATTCCCTGGCGTTGGCACTGTGGGGAGGCCTGAAAAAGAGCCTACTAGAGCCTGGCCAGTTGAATGGTGAAGCAGCCTGTGTCTCAAGATCATGGAAGAATACAATTCAGAGCTTATGTTTTTCAACGACTTCTGTTAGCATTTGCAAATTGTAGGCTAAATTTGGTTTCTACATGTGGGCAGGTGTTTTAAACCAAAGTACAGCAGACAACCCCCACACATCCCACACACGGTCTGCTTCCCCCAGCTGTACCATATGAGCTGGTCGTTGTAGAGGAAAGCTGTGTATTTAATCAGGCTGAGGCTTTCCTCCACTCTGTTAACGAATGACTGGATCTTCAGGTAGGTCATCTTGTCCAGGGGGAAAAAGGCGATTCCCCCGAACACGTCCAGCAGGTCACAGGACTGCAGGTGCAGCGTCTGCAGATACTGGAGGAGACCAGGGATAGAGGACAGTTATACACGCAGTCTGGGTGGACAATGGAAGGTGAATAGAAAAACATGTGTCCGTTTGGTTAATAGCCATCAGGGATACTTGGGGAAGGTGAGGTGTTAGCTTAGAAAGCAACATTATACGCCCATACCATTATGCTCAGGTTTCAGCTGAGAAACCTCATCAAGAAACACAAAAGGTCTGCACACTGTATGTCTGGACAATACAATGCTCCTATTTCCAGCTTCAATAGCAACAATATTTATGTCCAAGGTGGATCTCTGATAGGTCAAACCTGGAGATATTAGTTTACCTGCGTAGAGCTTACATTGCTGTACCCAAAGACATGAGAGGACGCTCTCTAGAATTGCTAGAACAGTGACATTCAACCTGGGATACGATACAGACACCACAGGCCTTCTCTGTGTCTTTGAGTTACATACTGGAAGGGGAAGCCCTTGATAGGATTAGGGAGAGCTGGGGGTTTCCTCTGATTGGCTAGGTATGAATAATGAACACAGGTCATTGCGGTCAATGGGGTGGGCCTGTAGTATGGCGGAAGCTTTGACCAGCTCTCCTTGAGAAAGGCGCTATTTCTGAGATGGTGATAATTAGTGGGGGAAGCCATATTTGAAGGCCACTGATGACTGACATCTGACCCTGCATTTAATCACTAGAAACTCAATACAGGATCAACCACTCTAGATGGCTAGAAGCACCAGTAGCATTCCTGTCTGTCATGCAGGCAGCAAGGCCTGGACACCACCGTCAGACCATTAGCAAAGTGGATAGTATATATACGCTTTGTAGCTTACAACACCAGATGTGTTTTTCTTTTTTTTTTACAGTGAAAACAAAGGACAGCTAAGAGGTAGGCCCTACTAAGAAGTAAGAGTCAATGTGTGTCTAATATATGAGTTATATTTACAAAGATGTGCTAATCAATTTCATAAGTAATAAATAATCTGGCATTGAAATAGCAGTGCCCTGCCCCTAGGAAAACATTGCTGAGAAAAGACTGAAAATATGCATCGATGATTTCTGTTGAACAGTCCAATCAAGCTACATTACTCAAAGTATATAAGCACACGTGTAAAACAAATGTTCTGCATACAATAAGACATGACAAATCACCTCACCACCTAGTACACCCATCATCATGCATATAGTTGCAGAGACTTGAAGTATGTACTATGTAGCCTAGTGTTTGTTTTCTTTTACCCTGTAAAAGAACTTGTCAAGCTTCTGCATGAGCAGCTCCACCCCGCCTGCTTCCATTGCTCTGCCAAATGTGCCGTTGAAGAGCTGGAGAAAAGAGCAGCGTAAAGAACCATCAGCAAAACACATCCTTACTAAATGTAAGGGTCTTACACAATCTTTACCAGAGAATGTGAGCTGGTATGACTTGAGTTTTACTCCAGAGTCCCACCCAGACGCTCACCTTGTACATACTGTAGCATTCCCGTAATACTGCACCATAAACGGTGTCCTACAGAAATAAGAGAATAAACAACTGAGCAAGTTATAAATGTTCTGCACAGAAGAGTTGAATTCCCTCATAAATGGACCATGCAAACATGAAATATACATGAATAAAAGACGCAACAAAATACAACTTACAAGTATTTCTTCTTCTTGATATTCTATCGTGGGAGGTTTCCCATCTTTATTAGGTTTTTCTACCATCGGGTTCCGCACCACCTGGATACGCAAACAAGGACAGGTAGAGGAGAGATATTATCTATTCAAACGTATCCTAGGAGACCTAATGACTTGCCAAAAAGACAAATTGAGAGCGCAACCACTCTGTATACAGCACCTTCAGAAAGTATTCACACCCATTTTTTACATTTTCATCATTTAGCAGACGCTCTACTTTTCTCACATTTTGTTTGTGTTACAGCCTGAATTTAAAATGTATTAAATTGAGATTTTGTGTCACTGACTTACACACAATACCCCATAATGTTAAAGTGGAATTATGTTCTAAGAAATGTTTACAAATTAAATGTCTTGAGTCAATAAGTATTCAACCCATTTGTTATGGCAAGCCTAAATAAGTTCAGCAGTAAAAATGTGCTTAACAAGTCACACAATAAGTTGCATGGACTCACTCTGTGTACAATAGTGTTTAACATGATTTTTGAATGACTACCTCATCTCTGTACCCCACACATTCAAATTACCTGTAAGGTCCCTCAGTTGAGCAGTGAATTTCAAACACAGATTCAACCACAATGACCAGGGAGGTTTTCCAATGCCTCGCAAAGAAGGGCACCTTGAATACATTGAATATCCCTTTGAGCATGGTGAAGTTATTCATTACACCTTGGATGGTGTATCAATACACCCAGTCACTACAAAGATACAGGTGTCCTTCCTAACGCAGTTGCCAGAGAGGAAGGAAACCGCTCAGGGATTTCACCATGAGGCCAATGGTGACTATAAAACAGTTACAGAGTTTAATGGCAGTGATAGGAGAAAACTGAGGAATAATATTGTAGTTACTCCACAATGCTAACCTAAATGACAGAGTGAAAAGAAGGAAGCCTGTACAGAATAAAACAATTCCAAAACATGCATCCTGTTTGCAATAAGGCACTAAAGTAAAACTGCAAAAAATGTGGCAAAGAAATGCATTTTATGTCCTGAATACAAAGTATTATGTCTGGGGCAAATCCAACAGAACACATCACGGAGTACCACTCTTCATATTTTCAAGCATGGTGGAGGCTGTATCCTGTTATGTGTTTGCTTGTCATCAGCAAGGACTAGGGAGTTTTTTAGGATCAAAAGAAACGGAATAGAGCTAAGCACAGGTAAAATCCTAGAGCAGGGTTCTTCAATCCTGGTCCTGGAGGGCCGAAACACTTCTGTTTTTTATTTCTACCTGGTAGTTAATTGCACTCACCTGGTGTCCCAGGTCTGAATTAGCCCCTGATTAGAAGGAGAGGATGAAAAACAGAGGTGTCTCGGCCCTCCAGGACCAGGATTGAAGAACCCTGTCCTAGAGGAAAACCTGGTTCAGTCTGCTTTCCAACAGACACTGGGAGCCAAATTCACCTTTCTGCAGGACATTAACCTAAAACACAAGGCCAAATATACAGTGGCGTTGCTTACCAAGACGACATTAAATGATCCTGAGTGGCGTAGTTACAGCTTTGACTTAAATCGTCTTGAAAATCTATGGCAAGACTTGAAAATTGCTGTCTAGCAATGATCAACAACCATCTTGACAGAGCTTGAAGAATTTAAAAAAATAAATAAATGTGCAAATATTGTACATTCCTGGTGTGCAAAGCGCTTATAGACTTACCCAGAAAGACTCACAGCTGTAATCGCTGCCAAAGGTGATTCTAACATGTATTGACTCAGGGGTGTGAATACTTATGTAAATTAGATATTTCTGTATTTCATTTTCAATAAATTGGCTAAAATTACTAAAAACATGTTTTCACTTTGTCATTATGGGGTATTGTGTGTAGATTGGTGAGGAAAAAATCTATTTAATCAATTTTGTACTCAGACTAAAACAACAAAATGTGAAATAAGTCAAGGGGTATGAATACTTTCTGAAGGCACTGTATATAGTAAGTGTAAATGAGCTGGAACACCAATGTACCATGACGATCCAGAAACTGTCCTCTGCTTCAAAGAAGAACTGCCTGTTCTTCTGCGTGTGTAGGGATTTAGCAGGCTTTGTTGGACAGAAGGTTCTGGAATATAGCAAAGATGGTGGTTGGGCTAGGAGATATGAAGCCAACACACACAACTAACATAGATGTGAGATGTTGTATTTCAAGATGATCGATTAGTTAGTAGTTCCTGTGTACCTGGTAAACTGTACAATGGCCTCACAAAGGCCAACATTACGGATCTTCTCATTCTTCTCAACCTCACTAGGATGGTAGAATAAAATCTTCTTCTCCTCCTACAATGCATACAAGGAGACAGTTTCCATGAGGCACAGTATTTGAATGGAGACCACAAAGTTGACAGATATTCACATTGGATCATTTACAGCAGTAAACATTGAGCTGATGAACAGTTTGTTTGAAGATCATAGTGAAAACATGTGAAACACACACAGGACATAAAAACAACCAAGTGGCGCTCACCTCTCCCTCCCGTGGCCCAAATGAAGGATTATAGACGAAAAAACTGAGAAGAGATGGGGTGTACTGTTTCTCTTGCATTCCCGAAGCCATTCTTGGACTGCAACAGAGGAAGATGCTGATCAACTATCTGTGACTTAACAGACTGAAAGATGTATCACTTGTTATCACAATGAGACCCTGGTTTTACCTGATCATCAGCATTAGTGTGGTTTGTGTCTGGACGTCCTCTGCTCCAGAGTGAATTTAGCATGCTTTGTGGCTGCAGACAAAAATGATATCAGCTCAGCTATACAACTCTACACATCATTTCAGATTAAGAGAATCAGTGAGTCATGGAATTTGGTCTGTTTACTTTAGTCAGTAAATTGCATCAAACGCTCAATCTTTTGAATCAGGCTGAAAGATAGGCATGCATTTTCTGATTTGAACAGAGCATTATTACCTTCCACTGGGTTAGAGAGAACTCACAAGTCAAGTGGCACACTGACACTTGACACCAGCTATACTAGTTAGCTGTATAAATGTATCCTAACTTCCACACCTCAGTCGCATGGCTATTTGATTCTCTTTATGTGGCTTGCTAGGTGGCATTGCTACCATCTATTATTTTAATCAGGCCCAATGCTTAGGCGAGTTAGCCTCCTAGCGAGCTACGTTAACCAACTCCCTCAAACAAGTCCACAACACAGCTAGCTAGCTAGTAAGCTAGCACATCGGCCTCCGTAGCCGGGGACAACGGGGAATCTTTTGCCATCTGAAAAGACAAATGTAATACAAAACAAACGAACTAGCTAAGTTTATACCGTTAAAAAGCTAAATTGTTAGATATAGCAAGCTAGCAATTAGCCAACGTTAGGTGGTTAATTTGTATGCTGGCTGCACTGCAGCAGTCAACAATCCGCTAACGTTACACTTGGAGTTGTGTTCGCAGCGATCTGGGAAAACTATTTCCGAATCACAAATTAATTTGACAATAAACACAACGAAGAGACTTACCTTTTACTGTATAAAGTCAGCACATGCAGATCATCTCGTTTGTTGTGAACATTAATAACAGATACAGTAGAAAAGCCACGATCAATGACAAAATCCACCCACACTTCCTGCTTTGACAGAATCTCATGTGTTACATTAGAAACTGCTCGGTGGAATTTCTTGTACTTAAACTATGCTTCCACACTAAAAGTTAATGTGATGTTCGTGCCTTTCCAGACTGTGCATAAATCAGGCCTATATACTAAAACAATGTTGAAGGAGAACATTGATTGGTCTTGATGATCATGGATTGGTCTTGTTTTAATAAAAATGTAGCCTGGGCAGCCACTGGTGGCTTCATGGATCTCCACTATCATTTGGGCTTGATGTGCACAGCTGGTAATACATTCGGGTCCCCCCGGTGACCATATGTTCATACATTTATTTTATTTGTTTATTTCATCTTTATTTAACCAGGTAAGCCAGTTGAGAACAAGTTCTCATTTACAACTGCGACCTGGCCAAGATAAAGCAAAGCAGTGCGATAAAAACAACAACACAGAGTTACATATGGGGTAAACAAAACATAAAGTCAAAAATACAACAGAAATATACAGTGTGCGAATGTAGTAAGTTATGGAGGTAAGACAATAGTGCTAAATAGTTACAATTTCGTAGTAACACTGGAATGATAGATGTGCAAAAGATGATGTGAAAATAGAGATACTGGGGTGCAAATTAGCAAAATAAATAACAATATGGGGATGAGGTAGTTGGGTGGGATAATTTCAGAATGGCTGTGTACAGGTGCAGTGATCGGTAAGCTGCTCTGACAACTGGCGCTTAAAGTTAGTGAGGGAGATAAGAGTCTCCAGCTTCAGAGATTTTTGCAGTTCGTTCCAGTCATTGGCAGCAGAGAACTGGAAGGAATGGCGGCCAAAGGAGGTGTTGGCTTTGGGGATGACCAGTGAGATATACCTGCTGGAGCGCAGACCACGGGTGGGTGTTGCTATGGTGACCAGTGAGCTAAAATAAGACGGGGATTTGCCTAGCAGTGATTTATAGATGACCTGGAGCCAGTGGGTTTGGCGACGAATATGTAGTGAGGGCCAGCCAACAAGAGCGTACAGGTCACAATGGTGGGTAGTATATGGGGCTTTGGTGACAAAACGGATGGCACTGTGATAGACTACATCCAATTTGCTGAGTAGAGTGTTGGAGGCTATTTTGTAAATGACATCGCCGAAGTCAAGGATCGGTAGGATAGTCAGTTTTACGAGGGCATGTTTGGCAGCATGAGTGAAGGAGGCTTTGTTGCGAAATAGGAAGCAGATTCTAGATCTAACTTTTGATTGGAGATGCTTAATGTGAGTCTGGAAGGAGAGTTTACAGTCTAACCAGACACCTAGGTATTTGTAGTTGTCCACATACTCTAGGTCAGACCCGCCAAGAGTAGATTCTAGTCGGGTGGGCGGGTGCAAGCAGCGTTCGGTTGAAGAGCATGCATTTAGTGTTACTATTGTTTAAGAGCAGTTGGAGGCTACGGAAGGAGTGTTGTATGGCGTTGAAGCTCGTTTGGAGGTTTGTTAACACAGTGTCCAATGAAGGGCCAGATGTATACAAAACATTCTCAATTCAGGCTGCAAAGGCTTCATTTTCCAACACCATGCTAGAGTGACTAATGCCTAGGAATTCTAATTCCTGATGTTGCGCCCTTGTTCAGCCAGGGGTATACAACAGAATGCTGCAACTGAACGCGGGGCGCAACATCAGGAAGCCTTTGCAGCCTGAATGGATAATGTTTTATATAAGAACCGGTCACTGAGGGACAAGAGTGTATTACCAGCTGTGCACATCAAGCCCAGACAATAGTGGAGAATAATCAGTGGAGGCTGCTGAGGGGAGGACAGCTCATAATAATGGCTGGAATGGAGCGAATGGAATGGCACCAAACACATAGTGTTTCATACCATACCACCGATTCCATTCCAGCCATTACCACGAGCCCGTCCTACCCAATTAAGGTGCCACCAACCTCCTGTGGTGGAGATCCATAAAGCACACTAGCGGCTACCCAGGCTAATAAAAATGGTTGATGGAACAATTCAACAATTGACAGGCAATTGATAACTGTAAAATTCAATCATGCCATTATTGTATGATGTTCATACTACAATTTGACATAGATAAATGATCAGTAATAATGTAATGTGGGAACTGGCCATTGAGATCCTATTAAATTATTAGAGGGGCTATGTCATAAACCCTCATAGTTCCAGAATGGGGTGAAAATGGCTGCCAAATTGGTCAGGGAGAAATCCAAACCAGTCTAATTGGAGTGAATGGCATAATCTTATCTAGGAAAAGAAAAGTAAGGCATGTGATATATCAGAAATTGTGTAATAGAATAATTGTCAACCTACAATATTGTCATACAATTATAAATACAATTTATATGAGTTTTATACCAATTTTCTGTATAAATAGCCTCTAAAATATATGTAAACCAGGGGTTGGAACCAGTTCAGAGAATAGAACAGAATAATGACATTTTTCAAGGAACAGAAACGGAACCTGGAATGAAAGTGATCCATACTGTTCCAGAACAGAACCTTTATTTTAAATGCATGGGAACTGGTTAATAACGTTATTTTACGTTCCAGGCATTTTTTCCCACAACAAAAATGCAACAAAGTGCCTATACAAAGCCCTCACTCTGTCACTCAGAAACGTATTCCAGTGTCTGCCTGCAAGCTGAAAACCGTTGCCTGCGAGTGTTTAGGCTACCTGCCCCTCCCCCTCCGAAGCATAGGCTACTGTACTGACGTTACTAGCTTGATTCAGAAGATAGGGAGAGATATTTTTAATTAGCTGGAGAAGAAAGGATTAACTTTTTCTATGCTAGTTAAGGATACTATAGGCCTAGTTATCACATTTCACGTTGGATTTATTAACTACAAAAAGGTACGACGTATTTTTAATTCTGGTGTCGCTCTGCACACACAAGCTTGTTAGCTAGCTAGCTCAAGCTTGTTAGCTAGCTAGCTCAAAGGACATTCAAAATTCCTTCATAGAAGCCTCTCCTCCTAGGTATAATTCTGTGGACCTAATTCATATAATGCATGTCATAACAAGATACCCAGCACTTTAAGCATCCTCCTCAACCCTCTCTTGCTCTCTCTCCACCCGCAAAATTTCAGTCGCATCTTGTGCCATTGGCTACACTTGTCTGTCCATCACGCAAGTAAACCACTAGCTTGCCTACTATATCCGCACTGATTGGTGAAGTAATTGATTGAGCTAAATGTAAAAAAAACAGTTGATTTCACAGGTTGAAAAGGGAACAGAAAGGAACAATATAAACTGGTACTTTTTTTTGGTTCGAACTGGTTCAGAACGTTATTTTGCTGGTCGGAACAGTGCAACAAAACATAAAAAATTGTGGTTGTGTTCAGAATGAAACGATTGGAAAATAATTTTGGTTCCAACCCCTGATGTAAACGGACCATAAATGTCTAAATGTGTGTTTTCTTGAAAAGCTGTGAGTGCTATTATATGATACAATTTCAGTACTTGTACCATTTACAACTTGTCTAAATCTTATAATCAACTGATTTCAGCCAGGGTATGGCTGTGGATTGACTGAATTGTTTGATTGGAATGTTGGCATTTTGGCAGTTAATAAAAAAAATAATGGAATCATTCCTCTAAAACAGTGCAGATAAATTCTTCAAATTCTTTATCTTACACAATATCTTATCACAGCACTGGCAAACCATGGCTGACCAACTCCCTGACCAAAATGGCGGACCTTTAGACCATCATAAGAAGGTTCATGTCCATTCTAGTATTCTAGTTCCTAATTCTATGGAACTGGCTCTGTCTCATTTTTCTGTCTCATCACTTTAAGTTTAATTCATTCAACAGAAACCTGAGAGGGGTAGTCTTTCCAACGAGACGTTGAGAGGCCCTGGATGCTGTAACCTTAACCTGCACCCTCTGTCCCCTCCCTTTGTGTCACCTCAATTTGCTTTAAATCTTTCCTGTCCTCCCCACCCCTGTTTCGGTAAAAAGCTGAGGGATAGGGCTGGTGAAATGTAACCACACTCAAATTCATAGACAGAGGTGTGGGTGCACGGAATGATCAGGCATTATATCAAATGTATAGTTTAAACCATGTTTTGAAGCAATTTTGTTTGTTTGTTTACATTTACTTTTTTTGCAAACATTGCAGTGAAACAAGCTTATATTTTGGATTCTGATGGGGTATGACAGTTGAACTAAGCTCATGGGGCACTTATTGTATAAGTTATATTCTTCAAGAATCAATGGGTACATTTCATTAATTCAGAAGTCCAAAAATGGATGAAGCAACTGCAGATTGCCCCTTTAACACTCTTATTCCAGACCTATTCCTGGATAAACAATGAGCAAGATCCCTTTTTGAATTATTACAATTTCTATCAATAACAAAATAAGGTTTCAAATGTTCTGATGAAACTGAAGAATAAACAAGGTTATTTTCAGCAAACTATTAATATATGAATCACCTAATTATCAAATATTCAACGAAATACAGTACCAGTCAAAAGTTTGGACCCACCTACTCATTCAAGGGTTTTTCTTTATTTTTCCTAGTTTCTACATTGTAGAATAATAGTGAAGACATCAAAACTATTAAATAACACATATGGAATCATGTAGTAACCAGAAAAGTGTTAAACAAATCAAAATATATGTTATATTTGAGATTCTTCAAAGTAGCCACCCTTTGCCTTGATGACAGCTTTGCACACTCTTGGCATTCCCTCAACCAGCTTCATGAGAAATGCTTTTCCAACAGTCTTGAAGGAGTTCCCAAATATGCTGAGCACTTGTTGGCTACTTTTCCTTTTCCAAACTTTTGACTGGTACTGTATATAAAAACTAATCTTGTAAATTCAATGGAATAATCTTATGCTCAGTGTTGATCATTATCATTTATGACAGCTGTCAGAAAAATAATAAATATCCTCTATATGTTAACAGAGTGGATTTCCTATGATGGTTGATTATTGTGCTCTCTTCTATGCAGGTCACCACACACGCACAGGCAAACGCGCGCGCGCACACACACACACACACACACCTAATGCAGTGTAGCCGACAGAAGGTGTTACCCAATATAGCTAGTGATAGACTGGTAAGGCCAGGTAAGGTCACCATCTCACTTTTACTAGATACTTACTCTAAACACTGAGGGAAATACAACAGAACAGCTCCCTTTACACTTGATTGCCAGAAACAGCAGACAAGGTGTTCCCTTACTCCTTCCACCCAGTTGTCTGAATGGGCACCTCAATGCTATCTTGTTTTCTGTTTCATGTGCAGTAGGTCTATGTATAGGTGGGATGTTGCTGTGAAACCAACCTGGGCAAGCGAGGATGCTAACCATTGAAATGTGATGACGTGAGCTATACACAACTAAGACAGACCACTGGGTCATATAAGCTGTAGTGTATTCAGAATGTAATTTGGATGGACAGAACGGTGTTACGCAATGTTACAACTAACATAGCAGCTCTCCATATATGTTAACATTTTAGGCAACACTAAGTAACATAAAGTAATAGTGCATTAAATTGATTTCAAGTCAGGATTTGCAGAAATTCTACATTGAATTATGCACTCTGTCGAGGGTTAAGTGTACATTCAGTTCATTGTAACATACAGCACTTCCTTACATGGCATCTGTTGTATGGTTACAATACAGCAATTTAACAGATGCAAATGTTGTGTTTCAAAGAAAAATGCAATTCGCCACAATAAGTTACAATGTGTTTATTCATCTTTTTGATTGACAATGTAGTGTGCATTGGAAGGAAATATGGGGCGACACAGCTATACAACCTAGAACGTAATCAAAAGGCAAGTAAAAATGGTTAATGGATTAATAATTTCATTGAATGGAGAGGGGCTCTGAAAACAACAACAATTGAAGGGCACAATTCAAGCAGAAGGACAGAGAAAAACTAATTCCTGGGAATGGAGGCTGCTGTAGGCTTGAGGAAGTAGACGAGTCTGGGAGCTGGAGGCTGAGGCTGGGGAAGGAGAAGAGAACGAACACCTGCTGCTCTCTCGGCTCCCGTGGAACTCTCAGGACTGGACCATGATCAGGAATTCTGTGGCAAGAGAGAAAGATTCTGAGATGAGTTCCAATTATGAATTAGAATATGAACGTTCAGAGATGAGCGACATCAAAACAGCCTTTTGGAAATGTTGCTCATGATCTAAATCACTTGAACAGACAGGCTATAACTAACCCTCTTTGGCCTACAGCTGTAACAGTATGAGTTCTTTACTGGGAATTCGCCATTAGTGTTTTGGCTGCTGTGTTTTGTCTGGTTTGAAAGCATATTCTACGCAATTTATATGATTGGATTGCAATATGCAATATGACCAAAAATGTTAATGTAAATCAGTTTGTAGCTTCTTCGCTATCCAACCTTGTAATCATCTTATGCATACCATCATGTGCATACATAAGTGTTTTTCACAGAATTAATTTGCCCCCTTGTCAAAAAGATGTGGGATAAAGCAGAACAACATCGAATTCAAACCTTACGTAATACAAACACCCAAACACTTGTAAAACGTTTTTGTTTGTTATTCTTTCAATAGAGGGAAGTGCCAAAAAAGCTGACCAAAATGACCCTGAACCAAATAGTTGGTTTGGAACCAGAGATTGGAATAATGTTTAGACGTTGTCTGATTCCTTCATCCGGTTATGCAATCCCAGCTAAGCCAGTCTGTGCAGCCCTAGATATCGCTCAAATCTGTCTGGTAACCATTGATAGAGCATCTAGAGGACCAGACCAGGATTCAAATAGTACTTGAAATATTTTGATTGCTTTAGCTGTGCTTGATTGAGCTTGTCTGGGTTATTGGGATCAATGGAATAGACCCAAAAGTGCAAACTTTGCCCATCTGGCACTCCATGTAGGCTCAATCAAACACTAAAAGTATATGAAAGGTTTTGAAAATGATTTTAACCTAGGTCTACTGGAGCCCGTGACTTTTGGATCTCTGCTTGTTGAGACCAACTGGCATCTGATTTAAGCTCCACAATGTATTTTTGTCACCCTCAAAACCTTGCACAAAACATACGGGAATATAGACACACGAGCGCACAAACACTACTCTATATACAGTATACTCTACAAGGGCTGTCCCAATGCCTTCCTCTTGACCTGAAACATCTGGTGTCTCTAAAGCTCATCCTCTATCCATACTCTCTTCTGCCTACTCAGGGCTGGCCCTTACTAAAAGCCATACATCTGTGTTGACAGCAGTCAGGGCGGATTACAACTCTAAAGAGCATAACGTTAATCTCATTTTACAAAATACATATGGCCATACATTGCCATAAATATGAAGAGAGACCTAGTCATGGCCAACGCCAAGTTTGTGAATGTTGGCTTAGATAGAAGTCTTCCACACTAGGACAGGATTTGCAATAGTCAGGAAAGAACTTTAAACTATTTGATCCAAATTTTAGCCTTCTGTATATTTTCTCTTGGAAAACCGCCAAAAACCAAGAGCCTCCCAAAATGTATTGTGGATCTCAGAGAGTCTTGGTCTCCTGCTCATCAAAATCCCTTCAAGGAAATACTAACAGCCTTACTATTTGGCTCATGATAATGCCCCAGCCTGCAGGTGATTGGAGAGAGCGACTCACCTTCTACTCCGATCTTGCCATCGTTGTCATCATCAGCTGCAGAAAGGAAGCCTTTGCACTCAGCGTCCGTCAGCGTCCGCGCCCCGGGGACAAACCGTTGCAGGAAGAACCTAGGGGAGTACAAAAACAAATAGAGTACACACAATCAGAATACACACACATATACAAGCATTTAATGAGCCTTACACATACTGTACCAAGCGTCTGTGCATGTGCGCACACACACACACAACTTGTGTTCCAGCACAGCCCTTTTAGGCATCAAGGTTATTTGGTTCCAGTTTAACAAGGATTGAAAGTATAATAGCTAGGCTATATAGCCGGAACATCAAAGGATCTACTCTCTGGCACAATGCTCAGCCTGGTCTCTTGCCAGCTTTGTAAAAATAGAGATTTTTTTTTGCTGCACAGTCTCTATATGCATTCTCATAAGAGGTGAGGTAAAGTCAATTGAGTAAAAACTCTGCTATACTGCATCCATCCATGAACTCAATTGCACTTTGGTCATACAAATAAAATAAAATAAAATGTTATTTGCCACATGCGCCGAATACAGTGAAATGCTTACTTACAAGCCCTTAACCAACAATGCAGTTTTAAGAAAAAGAAGTGTTAAGTAAAAAATAGATAAGTAAAAAATTGAAATAACAAATAATTAAAGAGCAGCAGTAAAATAAAATAACAATAGCGAGGCTATATACAGGGGGTACCAGTACAGAGTCAATGTGCGGGGGCACAGGTTAGTCGAGGTAATTGAGGTAATATGTACAAGTAGGTAGAGTTAAAGTGACTATGCATAGATAATAAACAGAGAGTAGCAGTAGCGTAAAAGAGGGGGTGGGGTGGGGGGACAATGCAAATAGTCTGGGTAGCCATGATTAGCTGTTCAGGAGTCTTATGGCTTGGGGGTAGAAGCTGTTAAGAAGCCTTTTGGACTAGTCTATGACTAGGGTTGCTGGAGTCTTTGACAATTTTTAGGGCCTTCCTCTGACACCGCCTGGTATAGAGGTCCTGGAAGGCAGGAAGCTTGGCCCCAGTGATGTACTGGGCCGTACGCACTACCCTCTTCTCGGTCGGAGGCCGAGAAGTTCCCATACCAGGCAGTGATGCAACCAGTCAGGATGCTCTCGATGGTGCAGCTGTAGAACTTTTTGAGGATCTGAGGACCCATGCCAAATCTTTTCAGTCTCCTAAGGGGGAATATGCTTTGTCGTGCCCTCTTCCTGACTGTCTTGGTGTGTTTGGACCATGATAGTTTGTTGGTGATGTGGACACCAAAGAACTTGAAGCTCTCAACTTGTTCCACTACAGCCCTGTCGAAGCAAATGGGGAAGTGCTCAGTCCTCTTTTTTTTCCTGTAGTCCAAAACCATCTAATTTGTCTTGATCACGTTGATGGATAGGTTGTTATCCTGGCACCACACGGCCAGGTCTCTGACCTCCCTATAGGCTGTCTCATCGTTGTCGGTGATCAGGCATACCGCTGTTGTGTCGTCAGCAAACTTAATTATGGTGTTAGAGTTGTGCCTGGCCATGCAGTCATGGGTGAACAGGGAGTACAGGAGGGGACTGAGCACACACCCCTGAAGGGCCCCCATGTTGAGGATCAGCGTGGCAGATGTGTTGTTACCTACCCTTACCACCTGGGGGTGGCCAGTCAGGATCCAGTTGCAGAGGGAGGTGTTTAGTCCCAGGGTCCTTAGCTTAGTGATGAGCTTTGAGGGCACTATGGTGTTGAACGCTGAGCTGTAGTCAATGAATAGCGTTCTCACATAGGTGTTCCTCTTGTCCAGGTGGGAAAGGGCAGTGTGGAGTGCAATAGAGATTGCATCATCTGTGGATCTGTTGGGGCGGTATGCAAATTGGAGTGGGTCTAGGGTTTCTGGGATAATGGTGTTGATGTGAGCCATGACCAGCCTTTCAAAGCACTTCATGGCTACAGATGTGAGTGCTACGGGTTGGTAGTCATTTAGGCAGGTTATCTTAGTGTTCTTGGGCACAGGGACTATGGTGGTCTGTTTGAAACATGTTGGTATTACAGACTCAGTCAGGAACAGTGAAGACACTTGCCAATTGGTCAGCGCATGCTCGGAGTACGCGTCCTGGTAATCTGTCTGGCCCTGCGGCCTTGTGAATGTTGACCTGCTTAAAAGTCTTACTCACATCGGCTATGGAGAGCGTGAACACATAGTCATCCGGAAGAGCTGATGCTCTCATGCATGCTTCAGTGTTGCTTGCCTCGAAGCGAGCATAGAAGTGATTTAGCTTGTCTGGTAGGCTCGTGTCACTGAGCAGCTCGCGGCTGTGCTTCCCTTTGTAGCCTGTAATAGTTTGCAAGCCCTGCCACATCCAACGAGCGTCGGAGCCGGTGTAGTAGGATTCAATCTTAGTCCTGTATTGACGCTGTGCCTGTTTGATGGTTCGTCGGAGGGCATAAGCATCCGGGTTAACCCTTTAGCTCAGTGCGGATGTTGCCTGTAATCCATGGCTTCTGGTTGGGGTATGTACATACGGTCACTGTGGGGACGACGTCATCAATGCACTTATTATTGAAGCCAGTGACTGATGTGGTGTACTCCTCAATGCCATTGGAAGAATCCCGGAACATATTCCAGTCTGTGCTAGCAAAACAGTCCTGTAGCTTAGCATCTGCGTCATCTGACCACTTCCTTATTAACGAGTCACTGGTGCTTCCTGCTTTAGTTTTTGCTTATAAGCAGGAATCAGGAGGATAGAATTATCGTCAGATTTGCCAAATGGAGGGCGAGAGAGAGCTTTGTACGCGTCTCTGTGTGTGGAGTAAAGGTGGTCTAGAGTTCTTTCCCTCTGGTTGCACATTTAACATGCTGGTAGGAATTAGGTAGAACGGATTTAAGTTTCCCTGCATTAAAGTCCCCGGCCACTAGGAGCGCTGCCTCTGGATGAGCGTTTTCCTGTTTGCTTATGGCCTTATACAGCTCATTGAGCACAGTCTTTGTGCCAGCATCAGTTTGTGGGGGTAAATAGACAGCTATATAGATTAAAACTATCTTGGTAAATAGTGTAGTCTACAGCTTATCATGAGATACTCTACCTCAGGCGAGCAAAACCTTGAGACTTCCTTAATATTAGATTTTGTGCACCAGCTGTTGTTTACAAATATACACAGACCACCAGCCGTTCTATCCTGCCGATGTAGCGTATATCCCGCCAGCTGTATGTTATTCATGTCGTCGTTCAGCCACGACTCGGTGAAACATAAGATATTACAGTTTATAATGTCCCGTTACAGTTGGTGTCCTAAATTCTGCTGGCTTGCACATTTATAGAATGTAGACGGTGCATTATATAATGCAAATTTAATAATTATAGTTTTTTAGCCATGGATTATATTAAGGCTTAATGGTAGCCTTCCATTAAAATGACAGGGGAGTGGAATTGTAGAATTTTATCTCATTAGCATTTGTTGTGCTTGCAACAAAACATATTTCATTGTATTAAATAGTATTAAGTCTCCTGTCACTCAGCATACATTTAGAAATGCTCTCTGTGGTTCTGATGGCTCACCAGGTTGCTGCTGGAACAGTTGGTGGTCCTGTGTGGCTCTGCTGGTAAGAGTGTGCTACTGGCAATGCCAAGGTCATGGGTTCAATTCCCGCAGGGATCAAGTAATCTTCATAAAAATGTATGGTATGTACTCACTGTACTGTGAGTTGCTTTGGATAAAAGCATCTGCTAATTGGCACAGTTGTAGCTTTGAATCCCACTGGGGCCACATATAGCCAAATGAATATATGTGTTAACGATAAGTCACTTTGAATAAAGGTGTCAGTAAAATGACCATGTATTATCATTATAGGGCGCACAGGAAATTGGTCACAAGTATCCCTCCTTCTAAAGGATTACTCCAAATGTCATACTTGAGCTCGGACTCCTCGATGAAGCCACTGTTGTCATCGTCAAGGATCTGGAAGACATCTTTGACTTCTTTGGGAGACTTGGAGGTCAGGCCACACAGCTGGGAAAACTTCTTAAAGCTGAAGGAGTCTGGGGCTGAAGAGAGTAAGGAAGAACACATACACCCATAAATGAACCAGTGCACACACACACACACACACACACACACACACACACACACAGGTTAGAGTTCAGGCAAGGTTGACACCCTGAGGAGTTTAAAAGGTAGCGTTGCTGCAGTCCAGAGTGGAGATTTATCCCTGTGTGTCTCTCTCTTTACGAGCTGGCACACAGACACTCTTCTTAAAGAGTCCTTTTCACCCCAGCATGTGGACTAAACCCAACCTCAGGATGCTAAATTGTAGTGCAATAGTCTGCGGGCTACTGCCAGCCTAGTTCTACAACAGAGTAAAAGAAGCACATACATTATAATGACTATAGTCTGTGGGCGACTGCCAGCCCACTACAGAGTAGGAAGCACTCTCTTCTGACTAACAATAACTCTCTACAGTACATGATCATAGTCTGTTACAATATTACCATCTCTCTCCTCTTTCTGTTTTTCGCTCATTCTCATTCTCTCGCTCATTCTTTCTCTGTCTCTCTTTCTCAATCTCTCTCTCAGGTAGTCCTGAGGTAAGACCTACCTTGGAACTCCTTGACGGCATTCTCAATAGCCTCCGCAGAAAGGATAGAAGTGAGTGACATATTAATCCTGTAGGACAGAGGAACAGCGGAGTAAATTATTCATACACACACGCGCGCACGCACACACACACACAGGCTATTGAAAGAGTCAGGTCCAGTCTATTCATTTAGAGAATATCAGTCAGTAATCCCAGACTGCAGTCATTGAAAAAAACTGCTGGATTACACAAGGGTGTATAGTAGGCTATGCCAATTATAATGCCTTGATACAAAATGTATCTTAACATAATAAAAACGCAATGTTACACAATGCAATGCTACACATCAATTTCTTAAGAATATTCCTCAAATCAATTCATTTCAAGTAACCACAACAAACAACACTGCACTGAATTGAATACATAATATGTTCAAACCTACCTATATGTCCCTCTCTCTCCCTACGAGGTGTTGACTTCTAAAACCGACTGCTTTAGTTTGTTTTTCTCTGTCAATTTCTTCCTCTCCTTGCTCTGATAATCTGCTGATGTCAGTTTGACTGATGTTGATGTTGATGTCGCTGTTCTGTCTGCTTTGGTGTAATCTGGCTGCTGGATGTGATACCTCTGATGTAGGCGATTTGAAATTATCTGGCAAAAAGGCTATCGATAAAGACCCAACAACATTTATGGATGCAGATGCGTAATTGTGCCTACAAAGTGTATTAAGAAAGGTAAAATAGGTCTAGGCTACTTCTGGAAAACCTTTAAACAAAAATCCTGTTAAAAACACAAATTCCGAGAAGAATTACCTAAGAGAGTGTCAAACACAAATTCCGAGAAGAATTACCTAAGAGAGTGTCAGCCAGGTAAATGGACCTGCAACTTCCTCCGCGGTGTATCACCTGAGCCGCACTAGGCTACCTGAGCATCACTCACTCGGTCGGCAAAGTAACCGCACGCACACGTCACACCAAAAACTCGAACAGTCCTTTATCCTACTCACCGCTTTGATGGTCTCGCCTCGCCGGTGTCCAAAGCAGAGGGTGTAAGGCTTTGTGGTGACTGATGACTGCCGATGAGGATTTATATATGGACTGGATACACCGACAATCCGCGATGCTTGAGTTACCTGTCCGTGTATCAAATTCTCACAGCCAGGCCACTCTCGAATTCCTTACCTAACTAATTAACCGTTAGCCTACTATTTATATCCGCCTTGACTGGCTGATGCGTGTAAATACTGGAACCTGTACCGCCCTTATGCTATAGCAGGCAGTTTTACGCATCTCCTCCCCCCCCCCCCCCCCCCCCCCCCCCGTCTTATTGGTAACAAAATATGTAGGTATATAATTAAACGTTTTATGAAAAGATTTCACATTGATAATATTAACAAATTATCAATAGAAACATTTATTGACAGATCCATGAAAATATTAAAATTGGCATTGCCCAAGTAATCCCAAAATATTAATTCCCCTATTCCAAGTGGGAGCAGATGGGGCCAGATTATTTGATACACTATGTATACAAAAGTATGTGGACACCCCTTCAAAATGTGTGGATTCGGCTATTTCAGCCACACCCATGCTGGCAGGTGTATAAAATCGTGCACACAGCCATGCAATCTCCACAGACAAACATTGGCATTAGAATGGCCCGGTCATAGGATGCCACCTTTCCAACAAGTCAGTTCGTCAAATTTCTGCCCTGCTATAGCTGCCCCGGTCAACCGTAAGTGCTGTTATTGTGAAGTGGAAACGTCTAGGAGTAGCGCATAAAAATCATCTGTCCTCAGTTGCAACACTCACTACCGAGTTCCAAACTGCCTCTGGAAGCAACTTAACTATTCGTCGGGAGCTTCATGAAATGGGTTTCCATGGCCGAGCAGCCGCACACAAGCCTAAGATCACCATGATCAACACTAAGCATCAGCTGGAGTGGTGTAAAACTCGCCGCCATTGGACTCTACAGCAGAAGAAATGCGTTCTCTGGAGTGATGAATCACACTTCACCATCTGGCAGTCCAACGGACAAATCTGGGTTTGGCAGAAGCCAGGAGAACGCTAGCTGCCCAAATGCATAGTGCCAACTGTAAAGTTTGGTGGAGGAGGAATAATGGTCTGGGGCAATTTTTCATGGTTCGGGCTAGGCCCCTTAGTTCCAGTGAAGGGAAATCTTAGCACTAAAGCATACAATAACATTCTAGATGATTCTGTGCAGCCAACTTTGTGGCAACAGTTTGGGGAAGGCCCTTTCCTGTTTCAGCATGACAATGCCCTCGTGCACAAAACGAGATCCATACAGAAATGGTTTGTCGAGATCAGTGTGGAAGAACTTGACTGGCTTCTACAGAGACCCGACCTCAACCCCATCGACCATCTTTGGGATGAATTGGAACTTCGAGTGCGAGCCAGGCCTCAGTACCCGACCTCACTAATACTCTTGTGCCTGAATGGAAGCAAGTCCCTGCAGCAATGTTCCAAAACCTGTGCAAAGCCTTCCCAGAAGAGTGGAGGCTGTTATAGCAGCAAAAGGGGGACCAACTCCATATTAATGCCCATGATTTTGGAATGAGATGTTCGATGAGCAGTTGTCCACATACTTTTGGTCATGTAGTGTATATCTTAAGCTCAGTACTTAGTGCAAGTGATTTAAGGCTACTGTACATACAGTACACGTTATTTTACTGTTTTAGACTTGCTTCTTTCAAAAGGTGATTTTAGTTTATGAACATGCAGGAAATGGTTAGAATAAAACTGTATGAAATGTTTTCTCTTTTGCCTTATGGCAAGGTGCTCCATCATGCTGGAAAAGGCATCGTCACCAAACTGTTCTTGGATGTTTGGGAGAAGTTGCTCTCGGAGGATGTGCTGGTACCATTCTTTATTCATGGCTGTGTTCTTAGGCTGAACACTCCCTTGGCTGAGAAGCAACCCCACACATGAATGGTCTCAGGATGCTTTACTGTTGGCATGAGACAGGACTGATGGTAGCGCTCACCTTGTCTTCTCCGGACAAGCTTTTTTCCGGATGCCCCAAACAATCGGAAAGGGGATTCATCAGAGAAAATGACTTTACCTCAGTCCTCAGCAGTCCAATCCCTGTACCTTTTGCAGAATATCAGTCTGTCCCTGATGTTTTTCCTGGAGAGAAGTGGCTTCCTCGCTGCCCTTCTTGACACCAGGCCATCCTCCAAACGTCTTCGCCTCACTGTGCGTGCAGATGCACTCACACCTGCCTGCTGCCATTCCTGAGCAAGCTCTGCACTGGTGGTGCCCCGATCCCGCAGCTGAATCAACTTTAGGAGACGGTCCTGGCGCTTGCTGGACTTTCTTGGGCGCCCTGAAGCCTTCTTCATAACAATTGAACCTCTCTCCTTGAAGTTCTTGATGATCCGATAAATGGTTGATTTAGGTGCAATCTTACTAGCAGCAATATCCTTGCCTTTGAAGCCCTTTTTGTGCAAAGTAATGATGACAGCATGTGTTTCCTTGCAGGTAACCATGGTTAACAGAGGAAGAACAATGATTTCAAGCACCACCCTCCTTTTAAAGCTTCCAGTCTGTTTTTCTAACTCAATCAGCATGACAGAGTAATCTCCAGCCTTGTCCTCGTCAACACTCTCATCTGTGTTAACGAGAGAATCACTAACATGATGTCAGCTGGTCCTTTTGTGGCAGGGCTGAAATGCAGTGGAAAAGTTTGTTGGGGGATTGAGTTCAATTTCATGGCAAAGAGGGACTTTGCAATTAATTGCAATTCATCTGATCACTCTTCATAACATTCTGGAGTATATGCAAATTGCCATCATAAAAACTGAGGCAGCAGACTTTGTGAAAATTAATATTTGTGTCATTCTCAAAACTTTTGGCCACGACTGTACACGTTATTTTACTGTTTTAGACTTGCTTCTTTCAAAAGATGATTTTAGTTTATGAACATGCAGGAAATGATTAGAATAAAACTGTATGAAATGTTTGCTCTATGTACTGCATCTCTTTACTGCATGGCTTTGTTATACTATCAGGGTACCAAACAGTTTTCAGCTTCACTGTAAAGGTGAATAGCCCACACACAGGTGGTGTGTGGGTCCTCTGTGGTCCTCTGTAGCTCAGCTGGTAGAGCACGGCGCTTGAAACGCCAAGGTAGTGGGTTCGATCCCCGGGACCACCCATACACAAAAAAATGTATGCACGCATGACTGTAAGTCGCTTTGGATAAAAGCGTCTGCTAAATGGCATATTATATTATTATTACACAGTATTCTGCCTCCTGAATACATTCACTCAACCTACACTGTGCTGGTGATTCCACCTGGTCACTATAACAACCAGCTTGGCTGCTGTGAGGGATGTATAACATAGCAGTGGAGGCGCTCAAAACATCAGAAGCAGCAGCAGTGTCTCTCATGATTTAATTTAGTCAGGACAAAATGAAGGTGGAGGAAAGATACATCTATAACGAGGACCAAGGGAATTATTATTCTCAATTATACTCGACCCCAAACCCAGTCCAACCCTTTACCAACCATTCATCTCTTGATTGACAGATCTTGATTCATGATGGGAATCCTGATGATAAGTGAATATATGTAAAGGCCAAAACCCAATTGCACAGCTATGTCGTGGACACTGGACTGCAGAACAGGTTGTGAAACTTACATCACAAAAAGACAGCTTTATTCAGTGCCAGACAGTGCCTCTGGCTTTAGATCGTTTGACTTGGATACCACCTAGTGGTTTTTTTCTGCCAATGCAGCACCCTCAACATGACGCCTGAATCACACTGGAATCAATGTGAGGTTTAAACATTAAATAGAAAACAGACTCATCCCTTATTGATATTTAATAAGCACATATAACAGTGAATAATTGGCCATGACATTTGAATATTTAGGGGCAATTTTGGCCTACTAATGTGGTTGTTGTGTTGTGTTGTCTATAGTTTGTCTGTCTTTAGCCTTGTAGACCTACACTAGAGGCACGGGTCATTGGTCACTGGTCATGTGTACTCTGGCAAACAGGTGACCAGGAAGTAGGGATGCACAGGCCATAGAGATAGATAGAGGACTCAAGTGCCCAAAAGCCCATTTTAGCATGGGCAGCACCATTTTGAAGTAGTCAACTGGGTGGGACTTCATATGGTTTAAGGAAGGATCACATAATGCCATTCAGGTCACCAGGAGAGATCAGCCAATTAATTACACTTGTGAGCAAACATTCCATAACTGCAACCTTGGCTTTATAACTGTTCAAACAACACACTCGAGGTGGCAGTAAATACACTTTCAGTTTGTTTACCAACATAGAAGTAGTAGAAAAAGAAAATTGACTGCTTCAAAATGGAGATGGCCCTAATAGCGCTGCCCATGCTCACATAGACCCCATAATGGGACAGATACAGGACATGGTCCTCTGCCCAGAGGTTGCTTACAAAGCCTGGATAGGTATTTTACATATCAGCTAACCACATCATATGTTATAGCAATCCCGACGGAACAACTGATGACGTGGCCATGCAACCATTGGTTGATGCATGCAATGTTTGCGCAGGGGAACAAGACCACAATGTCGTATCCTCTAACTATTATGGCACAGGCAGAGATGATAGAGTAAGTGATACATTTCATAATACTTTTTTTCTGGTTAGTGCATGGTAGACTGGAGCTGTGACAATTATTTTCTATGGTAAGAGGCCTTTTTTGTATCATCTTTATAATCCACCATCTATGGCACATGTTTGGAGAGCCTACTAATTACATCTGCCTGTATGAAATTGTTTGCGATCAATTTAATTTTTGCTGCTAATAAATGGGCAAAAGACCCAACCAAAGATAGCGTCTGGAAAGTTATGTTTTGCATGCGTTTATGGACATTTCATTTGCAATCCCACCTGTAGAGTGGCTATCAGGAACTTTTGACTAGTTTAGCCACTTCAAAAGTAAGAATTTACCTCTCGAGGAGTTTGGCTTAGTTTATGGACATTGGATTGAATCTTTATCCTGCAACTGATTAGTCTGGCTGACACTAACTCGAGGTCCTCCTGACTGGAAATACTATTTTTATGTTGTCAGTGCAATATATTGATGATTAAGGGGGCTGTGCTTTAACTGGTTGGTTCTCCTCCGTGTCTTTCTCACTCAAACACCCACAGGCACAGCCACACACAGTCCCTGAGTGCTGCCCCCTTCCATTACTACTGTTGGATTTTCAAATCCAAAACAACGAGGTCTCAACCCACCCGAAAAAAAATGCATTTGAGAGAACCAATCAATGCTTTTCCTCAATTTCTGAGCGAATATTGCATTAATAAACGGCCTCCTGTCCAGACGAGTAAGTCACTGCTCTTCCTCGCTGTGTGGTCACTTGGGTCGAGTCAGCCAGGCTAGCAACTGATTACAACTGCCATGGAATATTTACTGATGAACAAGAGGAGGGAAAACACATCTCTCTTGCCAAAACACATGAATAGCAGCGGCGGATCGAAGGATGGTAGGCTATGTGCATATGTGCCGCTTGTAAAATGAGAATTTGTAATCCCACCTGTGCTAGAGTGGTTATCGCTATAGGCTATCAGGATATTTTGACCAGGTTAACCACTAGGCTACAGGTAGATCGATTCTGTCTTAGTGACTCAGAAATATACACGACTGAAGGTGTAACCACTTAATGTTAGCTACTATATGAAACTTGACTGTTCCAGTTCTCAAAATAAAATCAATGCACAACCATTGACCTCTCATCTCCTCATCTTAGTTGCTATGTGGTGATCATTTTGATGATAAATCATGTAAGAGGATGCTGAACAATATACCCTTTTCACACTATCCTACTGACCCGAACCGTGCTGGTTTATTAAAGTGGGTAAGGTGATGATAAAATTCCACTCTAGTCTAAACAGATTGGTACTGAACATTAAAGCAAACTCTAAAGAAAAGATGAGACACCATATTGAAAAAGAACGTTTATTCTTTTCTATATATCGTCCGACGTCCATTTCCCAAAAAGTGCATAATTGATTGGACACTAAAGCAAAACTCAAATTAACGAGAACAGGGGAAACACAGCCACACTACATTTACATTCATAGTGGACAGAAAGATGCACTATGGGTAGACAGTCACAGGCTATGTCTGATATGACACCCTATTTCCTATATAGTGCACTACTTTTGCCCATAGGCTCTGGGAAAAGGTAGTGCACTATGTATGGGATAGGGTGTCATTTCAGACACAGTAACAGTCACGTGTATAAAAGTGTTAAGATGAAAAGGGGGATGTCTTGGGTCAAGTTGTTCCTTCAGATCAAGAGGTGTTGGTCAGGTCTTCATTTATCCCTTGATCATGGCAGCGAACTCTGCAAAAGTGAACACACCATTTTTTGTATTAACAATATGAATGGTTCAATCATTTCTTATTCAACATTTAGTTTTCAATTACAACTGAGATTGCGAAGACTTGCAAGGAGCATGTATGTCTTGTTGTTGAAATAATGTTCCCAAATTCCAAAAAGGAATGTTCCCAACTCCAAAAGGAATGATCCTCACCATCAACTCCAATCATGCCATCACCGTCTTTGTCCCCATCAGCCAGGAAAGCCTTGGTCTCAGCGTCAGTCAGGGCTCTGGCAGAGGCAGAGAAGTTCTGCAGGAACAGCCTGGATGGATACAGAGCAAACAGGCAATAAGCAAAGACCGTAAATACAGACTATGCTGATGCTTTCCTGCTCTACTCATATTTTTGGGGAGAGGACTCTATTTTGTTGAGATAGAAATAGGCACCCCATGCTCTACAGAGGGGTAGGTTTAAAGTTATGTCAATTTTTTGCCCCCACACTAAGCAATCAGTCAAGCCTTATAAAGGGAACTTAACATTCACTCTAAGAAACATGATCAAAGGTGTTATATGATGAGTGTAATATCAGAGGGGTCCTTACTTGAGCTCATCCTCCTCAATGAAGCCACTCTTGTCCTGGTCAATGACGTAGAAGGCCTTCTTCACGTCATCGTTGGACTTGCTGGCCAGGCCGATCTTGGCAAAGAACGCCTTGTGGTTGAAGGAGTCAGCAGCTGTGGGGCGATCAGTTATCCATTAAAATGCTGTCGGAGGATTTCACAGTTACAAATATACTTAACAATACTGCTGTGCCAGGGCTGTGCCCGCTTGCCCAGGGCTAGTCTAGTGGTAGAGCTGCTGCCCCTGCACTGGACCACACTCCCCTGGAGGCAGCGGTTCAATATTCCGGTCTAGCCACTCTTTTCTGTGCAATATCCCTCTCATCTCTCTCATCAACCACAAAAATGAAAGACGCCTGCTCTATACAATGTTGCCCACAAACAGAGATCCTACAATTTGAGAGAGAGAGAGACAGAGTAGAAAGTGAACTGAGGCATCAATAAGAGGTTTACCTGTGCAAGCAGCGAGGGCTGCAGCAACATCAGCATCGTTAAGACCGGCGAAGGACATGTTTAGCTAGGGAGACAACAGAGAAGATCAGTTACAGCAAAGCAAATGTTATTCTGTTCATCACCTGCTTCTGTATAGCAACTGAAACTACTGATTTCAGTATGCTGAATCTTTGTCCTTTATCAGCGTTGGATATTTGGAAGATGGAACCCTCCTATATTAAACAATTGCATTTCCTAATAATATAAATGGTAATAATGTAGTTATTATAGTTAACATAGTTATTGTGATGTTATTAACATCTGAAAATCAAATTCTATTATTTTGGTTAGTGTTGGTTATTTTGGTTAGTTATGGTTATTTTGGTTAGTGTTGGTTCTTTTGGTTAGTTATGGTTATTTTGGTTAGTTTTGGTTCTTTTGGTTAGTTTTGGTTCTTTTGGTTAGTGTTGGATATTTTGGTTAGTGTTGGTTCTTTTGGTTAGTTTTAGTTATTTTGGTTAAGATTGGTTCACAATGCTGAGAGCATGAAGATGGATAGTCCTCTATTCCAAAACCCGGATTTGCAGGCAGTGAATGATAAATCATCCCAATGACGTAGCCTAATCCTTCCATTTGGTTCCTTGATTATTCCAAAGGCAAAAAACGTGTCCTGCGTTTCTTGAATTGAGATGGCCTTCATAGTTGATGCTTCCATCATGTTCTGTTCCATATCAAGGTGTAGTAAACCCGAAGGGTTGAAGATACATGCAAGAAATTGTCGACCTGACAAGACGAAGATTCATCCCTCTGCAACAGACTCACCTCAGGTTTGGCTTTAAGGCTTGAGTGGACTCGCAAAGATGATTCTGTGAACTGGTGTAAGCCCCCCTGCCCAAGCCCTCGACCTTATATACCCTACTCGCCCGAAATATGAGGCATAATGTAATAGACACCGCATGCAAAGCAGTTGGTTGAAAATGTGTCCAGTAGTCATGGTCTTTTCTATTTATATATACATAAATGAAGATTCTTAAATGGTCCTTGTTTGCAAAAGCGCTTAATATTACATCGGGCTAATAATATACGCTGGTATAGATGAGATAGACGATGCAGATTTATATCGTTTGAAAAGCCATATGGATGACAAGATTAGGTAAATTAGATTTGTAGTTATTGAAAACTTGACTTTACACCCAGATGTCTCTGAATCTTTTGTTGGCTTCGACTTTCAAATATATATTTATATTTAAAAATACTTTTTAATGTTTTGATTTCAAATCAAATTGTATTTGTCACATGCTTCGTAAAAAACAGGTTTAGACTAACAGTGAAATGCTTATTTGGGGTTTTCTTGATGTTTTACGGTCTGTTTTACGAAATCCATCAACAGCTATCGAGTTTAACAGTTCATACACCCAATTTACAACAGAGTTGCTCCGTCTCAATGCGTAATTGGCACGCGCAAAATGTCTGGAATGAGTTGTTGCATGTACATGTCTAACAAAAGTAGAGTCCATGATTTATGGCTGTAGGTGTAAGGTGCTGTATAACGCTGCGGAAAGAAGCTTGAATTACTTGAAAGGCTAATTATAATAGGGCTGGTGTGTCTTTATGTTAAATAATTTTAAAACAATGAAAGCGTTTTTGTTTTGTTATTGAAAAAGCTAAACACCATTTAAAGGCCCAGTGCAGACAGAAACGTGATTTTCCTGTGTTATAAATATATTTCCACACTATAAGGTTGGAATAATACTATGAAATTGTGAAAATTATGATAATAACTTTTTAGTGTAAGAGCTGTTTCAAAAGAAAGCCTGACATTTCAGCCTGTTTTGGTGGGATGGTGTTTTGGCCTGCCTGGTGACATCACCAGGCGGTAAATTAGCTAATAGACTAATAAGAAAGAGAGTTCCAAACCTCTCTACCAATAACAGCTAGTTTTCAGTTTTCCCCTCCCCACTCAGACCACACCCAGACAGTCCTAGCAGTCCTGCTTGAGAAATTGCTCTTTGCTAAGAAGCTAATTTTGTTTATTTTTGTCCATTTTAATTGAAAACAATCACAGTAAGGTACTTAATTGTTACCCAGAAATGATTTGATATTGAGATGGAAATGACTGCATTGGACCTTTAACAAGTGCATTCGATAACTAAACAGCTCTTTAGAGCTGAGTAAATCAGCAAGTGCATGTTTTAAATTATATATGGTGAAAATAAAAATAAAACTCAAGAAACATAATAACAAAATAATTCAAAATCTAGCCCAAAATGTCACATAAAATTGTATAGGCTATTTGATCTATCATGTGATCTTTTGTAATTGTCATATAAGATTTGCACATTTAGCAAAAAATACAATTAAATTATACCAGACCACATAAAAAATATTCATTCATAGAACTCTAATTAGGGCCTAATAATTTAAGGAATCATTCATCTGTTCAACAGGATGTCACGCATATTTCACATCTTTCCCTACAATTGGATGTACTGGTGCCCTTTGTGCAGTTCAAAATGTTAATTGGGGACCTCTTTGCTGAGGAATGTGATTGTGTTTCCTGAGCGTGTTTGTAATTTTGCATATTTGATTTATATAATATTTTGTAAATTGTGTGTATGCAGGGCTCCCTTGCGAAATAGACCTTGGTCTCAATGGGACTCCCTGTTCAAATAAAGGTATAATAATAATATATATATATATATTTTAATCAGTGGCTCAGGGGAGAGGAGAAGGGACACCCGTAGGAATGTATTTGGCACAAAGGATTGATTGAGTCAGTCATCACCTTTGTCTAATTGAAGGGTGCCAGGTGTTATTTTGGTCCCTTTCACCTCCCCTACTCCCCTCCAGCCTGTTTCTCATTATGGCTATGCTACTATTTATGAGAACAGTGAAAGGTGATAGGTCTTCTTCCCTCATCATTCAAACATCCAGATCTGGAGAGAGCCATTACGCAATACCAAGGCTACGGTACCGTACATCACTCAAGTTTAACAATGCTCTTGATGGTGCCATTTGGGATGCAGGAGTCCACATACGAGTATACATACAGTACGTGTGTGACGAGGTGTGAATGAAGGAGTCAGGTGCAGGAGGTAAAATACCGAAGTCCAGAGTTTATTCCGTTTACATAAATCAAACTATTACAAGGGAAAACATCCACCTTGGCATAAACACAGTGAATAGTAGCTCAACCGAGCTACATGCTCTCACAACAAACAATCACTCACAAAGACAAGGGGAACAGAGGGAACACTTATACACATACTAATTAGGGGAATGAGCACCAGGTGTGTGTGATTGACAAGACATGACAAGTGGAGTGATGAGAATGGGATCGGCAGTAGCTAGTTCTCCGGTGAAGACAAAACGCCAAAGCCTGCCTGAACCAGGAGGGGGGGCAGCCTCGGCAGAAGTCGTGACAGTACCCCCCCCCCCCCCCCCCCGACGCGCGGCTCCAGCAGTGCGCCGACCCCGGTCTCGGGGACGGCCAGGAGGACGCGGAGCAGGGCGTGTTGGATGGCGACGGTGGAAATCCCTCAAAAGGGAGGGATCGAGGATGTCCCGCCTTGGGACCCAGCACCGTTCCTCCGGACCGTACCCCTCCCACTCCACGAGATACTGAAGGCCCCCCACCCGACGCCTCGAATCCAGGATGGAACGGACAGAGTACCCCGGGGCCCCCTCGATGTCCAGAGGAGGTGGAGGGACCTCCTGCACCTCAGACTCCTGGAGCGGACCAGCTACCACCGGCCTGAGGAGAGACACATGAAACGAGGGGTTAATACGGTAATCAGGGGGAAGTAATAACCTATAAGTGACCTCGTTGACTCTCCTCAGGACTTTGAACAGCCCCACAAACCGCGGGCTCAGCTTCCGACAGGGCAGGCGGAGGGGCAGATTCCGGGTCGAGAGCCAGACCCGATCCCCCGGTACGAACACCGGGCCTCCCTGAGGTGGCGGTCAGCGTTGGCCTTCTGATGACGCACGGCGCACTGGAGGCAAACGTGGGCAGCGTCCCAAGTCTCCTCCGCGCGCCTAAACCAGTCATCCACCACAGGAGCCTCGGTCTGGCTCTGGTGCCACGGTGGCAGGACCGGTTGGTAACCTAAAACACATTGGAAGGGAGTTAGGTTAGTGGAGGAGTGGCGGAGAGAGTTCTGAGCATATTCTTCCTATGGCAGGAACACCGACCACTCCCCCGGCCGGTCCTGACTAGGTCCGCAGGAACCTACCCACATCTTGATTCACCCTTTCCACCTGCCCATTACACTCGGGGTGAAATCCAGAGGTCAGGCTGACCGAGACCCCCAGACGTTCCATGAACGCCTTCCAGACTCTAGATGTGAACTGGGGACCTCGGTCGGACACTATATGCTCTGGTACACCATAGTGCCGGAAGACGTGAGTAAACAGAGCCTCCACAGTTTGTAGGGCCGTGGGGAGACCGGGCAGAGGAAGGAGACGGCAGGACTTTTAAAAGCGGTCTACAACGACCAGGATAGTGGTGTTACCTTGGGAGGGGGGAAGATCAGTGAGAAAATCAATACTCAGGTGAGACCATGGTCGTTGTGGAACTGGTAAAGGTTGTAGCTTACCCGCTGGGAGGTGCCTAGGTGCCTTACTCTGGGCGCACACTGAGCATGAGGAAACATACACCCTCACGTCCTTAGCCAAGGTAGGCCACCAGTACTTCTCGGTCAGGCAGCGTATTGTACGACCGATACCTGGATGACCAGAGGAGGGTGACGTGTGTGCCCAGTAGATCAGACGATCATGGATAAGCGCAGGTACGTACTGCAGCCCAGCTGGACACTGCAGTGGAGATGGATCTGTGCGTAATGCCTGCGCTATATCTGCGTCCATCGCTCATACTACCGGCGCCACAATGCATGAGGCTGGGAGTATGGGGGTGTTGTCTCTGGGCCTCTCCTCTGTGTCGTACAGCCGAGACAGTGCGTCTGCCTTCACGTTCTTCGTACCCGGAATGTATGAGAGTGTGAAATCAAACCGGGTGAAGAAGAGGGCCCACCTGGCCTGGCGAGGATTCAGCCTCCTCGCTGCCCGAATGTACTCCAGGTTACGGTGGTCTGTCCAGGCGAGGAAAGGGTGTTTCGTCCCTTCGAGCCAATGTCTCCACACGGTCAAAGCTCGGACAACAGCCAGCAGCTCCCGATTACCAACGCCTTAGTTCTGCTCCGCCGAGCTGAGCTTCTTAGAAAAGAAGGCACAGGGGCGGAGCTTGGGTGGCGTGCCCGAGCGTTGGGATAAGACAGCTACTATCCCTACCTCGGACTCATCCACCTCCACTACGAACGGTAGTGATGGATCGGGGTGAGCCAGTACCGGGGCTGAGGTGAACAGACCCCGCAATCTACTGAATGCCAAATCAGCCTCAGCAGACCAGCGGAGCCGGGACGGCCCACCCTTCAACAAGGAGGTAATGGGAGCTGCGACCTTGCCAAAGCACCTCCTTTACCGTGGTTGGAGTCGGCCAATTACGCACGGCTGCAATGCGGTCTCCCTCCATCTCCACACCTGTGGTGGTAATGCGATATAGCCGAGGAAGGAGATTGACTGCTGGAAAAACTCACACTTATCTGCCTTGGCATAAAGATCATTTTCCAGCAGTCAGACCAGTACCTTGCGAACCAGGGACACATGCTCGGCGTGCGTAGCGGAATACACCAGGATGTCATCGATGTAGACCACCACACCGCAACCAAGCATGTCCCGAAACACCTTGTAAACAAAGGACTGGAAAACGGATGGAGCATTCATCAAACCGTAGGGCATCACCAGGTATTCATAATGCCCCGAGGTTGTGCTGAATGCTGTTTTCTACTCATCCCCTTCCCGAATACGCACCAGGTTGTAGGCACTCCTGAGGTCTAATTTGGTGAAAAAGCAGGCCCCATGCATTGACTCAATCACTGAAGGAATGAGGGGAAGAGGATAACTAAATCGTACCATCACATTATTCAGTGGTCGATAATCAATGCACGGTTGTAAACCGCCATCTTTCTTCTTCACAAAGAAGAAACTCGAGGAGGCAGGTGAAGTGGAGGGACGTATATACCCCTGGCGCAGGGACTCGGTGACGTATATTTCCATAGCCTCCGTTTCAGCCTGCAACAGGGGATGCACATGACTCCTGGGAGGTACAGCGTCTACTCAAAGGTTTATCGCGCAATCCCCCTCCCGATGAGGTGGTAATTTAGTTGCTTGCGTCTTGGAAAACGCGAGCGTCAGATCATGGTATTCGGGGGGAATGCGCACGGTGGGGGTACCGTCTGGACTTTCCACCGTGGTCGCACCAACGGAAACACCTAGACACCTACCCGGACACTCACGCGACCACCCCGTAAGAATCTTCTGCGGCCATGAGAAATTTGGGTACCCAAGACTACAGGGTAAGCAGGAGACTCAATAATCATGAAGGTGATCTGCTCAACATGCGTCTCCTGTGTAATAATGGTGACTGGTACCGTAACTTCCTTAACCTTAACCTTAACTTCCTTAACCTTAACCTTAACTTGGACCCTAATGGTCAACTATCAAGTGCTCTGATGGGGAGTGGAATGGTTAGGGGAACAAATGAAATGCCTTGACGGCGTGCAAATGCCCTGTCCATAAAATTCCCAACTGCGCCTGAATCGACTAGCGCCTTACACTGGGAACCTACCAAGTGATCGGGAAAGGAAATAGATAAAGTACAGTGCGCCGCAAAGGGCTCTGAACACGTTTGGGTGTTCGTTACCTGGGGTAATACGTGAGTACCCTGCCTACCGCCTCCAGACCCAAAAGAACGTTGACTGCGACGTGAGGTGGATTGTCCCTTCGTGCCACCAGAGTGGCACTGTCGCTCTCCTCCTGCGCTCTCTCGACCGGCGGCTCCCTCCAGCTCCATCTGCTCGGGGTCAGAGTCGTCCGGAGTGGGAACGGGCAGACCCCTACCAGGACATCCTCTGGCTGCTAGCAGATTGTCAGCCGGATGGCCATGTCCACCAGTTGCGAGAACAATTGCATGGCATCCCGGCAGGCTAGCTCCCGTCGGACGTCCTCCCTTAGGTGGCACCAGAAATGGTTGATCAGGGCCCGCTCGTTCCACCCGGACCCCGCTGCCAGCATCCGGAACTCCAGCGCATAGTCCTGAGTGGTCCTCGTCCCCTGCCTCAGATGAACCAGTCGTTCGCCCGCCTCTCGACCCTCAGGCGGGTGATCAAAACAGCCCAAAAGAGGCAAGCAAACTCCCCGTAGTCCTCCAACGCGGTACCTCCCTCATTCCACACCGCTTTGGCCCACTCCAGGGCTCTCCCACAAAGGCAAGAAACGAGGACGGATACCTTCTCCCGCTCCCGGGGCGCGGCCTGATGCTGGAGAAATACAACTCCAGTTGGAGTAGGAATCCCTTACATCGCGCTGCCGTCCCATCAAACGCCGGTGGCCGGGATATCTGGATCCCTCAAGGGGCTGGGGTGTAGGTGGCTGGATCTGGTTGACCAGCTGGTCTCGATAGATCGGATCCTCTCCTCTCCAGGCATTGTACCACTTGAAGAACCCGATCCATCGCTTCCCCCAAGCTGGCCAACATCGAGGAATGCTCCTGGACCCTTGCCACAACTCCAGGCATGCGGCCTTCTCCTGCTGACTCCATATCAGATCGGGTGAGTGATTCTGTGATGAGGTGTGAAAGAAGGAGTCAGGCGCAGGAGGTAAAATACCGAAGTCCAGAGTTTATTCCGTTTACATAAATAAAACGGCTAAAGCGTCAAACTAAACTATTACAAGGGAAAATATCCACCTTGGCATAAACACAGTGAATAGTAGCTCAACCGAGCTACATGCTCTCACAACAAACAATCACTCACAAAGACAAGGGGAACAGAGGGAACACTTATACACATACTAATTAGGGGAATGAGCACCAGGTGTGTGTGATTGACAAGACATGACAAGTGGAGTGATGAGAATGGGATCGGCAGTAGCTAGTACTCCGGTGACGACGATCACCGAAGCCTGCCCGAACCAGGAGGGGGGGTAGCCTCGGCGGAAGTCGTGACAACGTGTGTGACACGGTTAATGTGTTTGCGTCCCAAATGGCACCCTATTCCCTATAGTGCACTACTTTTGACCAGAGCTCTATGGGCCCTGATAAAAGTAGTACACTATATAAAGAATAGGGTGTCATTTGGTACGTATGCTATGTGTTTCATACTGCAGCATGTGGCACTGTTGAGGTGGCACCTATTGCTTTTGTTTGAGAAGGCCAGCTAGATAAACTATGGAATGCAGTTTGTTGCCATTCTTTTTCTATGGTTGTGTAGAGACTATCCAAACCTTTGTATGTGTGATGGCCATAGTAGTAGTAGCCCTTTAAGTAGATATAGTGCTGGCAACCTCATCAGTTTATATTTTATGGTACATAATTTAACAGGTCTAGAATTACATGGGGAAATGGTAATTACATAGTAATAGCATATTCAATACTTTTTATCAGTCACTCTCTCCTCTCCCCATCCTTGATCCTCAGGTTCGTTCAGCCTGACCCCTAACCCCTGACCTTTACCTTCAGACAGGTAGAGGAATCCATCTTGACACAAATAAGATTAAAGTGTTTTGAAATTAGGAAGGAATCCAAGCTGATGTGGGACATTCTAACATTCTGACATTCTGACATTCCAAACTCCACTTAGAGGTGATCCTTGGACTAAATTCCACCTTGTCATCAATAGTATATAAACATAATTAAATACATTTACTGTACATTCTAGCTGTAAACAAATATCTGCAAGTAAAAGTTCAGAGTGCAATTTGTTCACTTCTCCCTCCCTCACTACATAAATAGAAATGGCCTTATTCTATGTCACCGAGTATGACATTTTCACAGTCTGATATCTGAGGTAGAGAAACTTGTTCATAAATGTGCCTCATTGACAAAAACGGTGTAACATGGGAGTTCTGAAACCCTAGCCGAGAGCTGGCTGGGGGCCTTTGGAATGTGCTGGCTCTAAATGAACATATGCAAGAGATCCTCCAGCTGGCCAGCCCCCTAAAGAGCTGGCTCCAAGAGGCCCTGGCAGTGGCTGTGTCTTTCTGAACCAGCTATAGGTGTGCCAGAGCTGAACATATATCTGTCTCCTATATGCAGTGCCAGCAGGTGGATCCTGTTTTAACTTTATGTGAACCTATATACAGGTACTTCTCAGTACCCCATGGAGTGATGCTGGTGGGAATATTCTAAATAAACATAACATTTTATTCATTCCTTAGTTCAAGGACTTGCTCAGTTGTGACACTCAATGTCAGATTAAAAACCATTAAAAACAAAAGTTGTTGCTAATCCAAATGTAAATTTATTTCAATTTTCTTAAAGTGCAAAGGTCTGGTGGTAAACTTTTGCACACTGGCTGAATGCGAACATAAGACGTATTTAAAAAACATAACAGTCAACACGCTTTGGGGGTGTGGGGTTACAGTCAAAACAGTCCGTGCGACATTCATAAATAAAATCATTATACAAAAAATATGCAGTATTTGACAGGCAGCAGGCCAGGACAACCTCAACAGCAGATTTCTGGTTCTATGAAAACCGTGCCAATGATAGATGATTTATGCTTTCACCATGGTGGCGAACTCTGTGGAAACAAGGAAGAAACAACAACAGTTATTGCAAGACAGGTCATGATGAGAACTTTTTATAAAATGCACCTCATAAAATCCTCATTCCCTACATGTCATGGCATCTAAAAGTAGTTACGCGTTACTAAAAATAGTTAGTTGTTACAGTTATTTGGCCAACTGGAAAGGGTCAAGTACATAGTTTCTAGTTTGATATAAATGTGTAAAAGTGATTTGTTTACCATCCACTCCAATCATGCCATCCCCATCAACATCTCCTGCTACAAGGAAGGCCTTGGTCTCTTTATCTGTCAGAACTCTGGCACCAGCAGAGAAGGTCTGGAGGAACAGCCTGGAGAAAGAGAGAGAGGAGGGAGGGAGGGAGGGAGGGAGGGAGTGTTTAGAGAAAATTGTCAACTTTTTCCCCATGTGAATTCATGACTTTTGAATGAATTAGTTGACTTTCAATTTCAACTTATTTGACCCTCAGATCTATTTTAGTTTAAAACATTTTAATTTCTGGCCTCATCAGAATAGTCCGAAGAGAATAGCCCAAATATGTATGTTACAGGTGTTCATTTCAGTTCAAGGACCTCAGCCACCCGAGCCACGGCCTGTTCACCCCGCTACCATCTAGAAGGCGGAGACATTACAGGTGCATCAAAGCTGGGACCGAGAGACTGAAAAACAGCTTCTATCTCCAGGCCATCAGACGGTTAAATAGTCACCACTAGCCGGCCATCGCCCAGTACCCTGCCCTTAACTTAGTCACTGTTACTAGCCGGCTACCACCCGGTACTCTACCCTCCACCTTAGAGACTGCTGACCTATGTACATAGTCATTGAACACTGGTCACTTTAATTATGTTTACATACTGTTTTACCCACTTTATATGTATATACTGTTTGCTAGTCATGGCTCATCCTATAGAACTACTGCTGTACACACCTTTTCTATTCATATACTGTCCATACTATCTATACACACCATTATATACATACATATATTTATATTCCGGACATTGCTCATTCTCATATTTCTTAATTTCTTTCTTTTTATATTTTTTTCTATTTGTTTGTGTTGTTTTGTATTGTTAGGTATTACTGCACTGTTGGTGCTAGAAACACAAGCATTTCGCTGCACCTGCGATAACATCTGCTAAATATGTGTACGCAACCAATAAAATGTGATTTGATTTGAAGGGTGTGTTTAAGTACCCCTATGTGATCAAATGAATATGAGACTTGGTGAGTGGAGAGCAAGGAATAGTCAAGATATGCACTGGTATTCATTTCAGTGTCAAGGGTGGTGTTGCGTTGTACTCTACAGTAAGTTAACTTTTGACAACTGAATCAACTGGATCAATATGAGACTTACTTGAGCTCATCCTCCTCAATGAAGCCACTCTTGTCCTGGTCAACGAAGTAGAAGGCTTTCTTCAAATCCTCAGTAGACTTGCCGGCCAGGCCAACCTTGGCGAAGAACTCCTTGTGGTTAAAGGAGTCAGCAGCTGTGAGGGATAAACACAGGGGTCATTTCAACATCACTGTCCGGCCTGCTCATGGATGATTAAACCTGGTCAATATGGGCCCTTTCACTTTCACTGACATTGATTGTCATAAATAATTTAAGTATAGCACACCTGCGAAATGCTGGAGGGCAGCAGCGATATCCTCGTCCTTAAGCATTCCCTTGAAAGCCATTTTTAGATTCTGAGAAATGGGGAGAGAGAAAGCAAGAGAAGAGAGAAAATAAAGAGAGAGAGACATTTTCAAAGTCATGAACATGAATATTCAACAGAAAATACATAGGCCCACTAATCTTTTGACTCTGATAACCACAACTATTATCAAGAAAACTATCTCAGGCATATAGATATATGTAGATAGACCTTTTACCAAATGTTCTTTAATTAATGTACTAATTGTTTAATTAATTAATGGATATAAATGGATCTGTGTTGGTGCTGTGTTATCTGTAGCCTACAAGTTTACATTCCAAACTTAGCTCATCTGTGCTCAAAGGCAGAGTTGATGCAAGAAACTATAGAAGGCCAAAGCCCATACAGTAGTATGCTGTGATCCATGACCATTAGCTCTGCTAGACCTGTTTATTAGATCATCTCTTTCATCTATTTATACCAGCTCTGCAGCCTGTTTCTATTTTGCCTCTCAACCATTCACACAGAAAGATTCATATAAAACTTTCACTGTCATGAAGGTCCATGGCAATATAGATGGAGAAGAAGCATTGGTTTAGAAAGAAACATTGACTAAGACATGTCTGCCAGTGACAGTAAGTATCATTCAGAGTGGTCCTCGAACTGAGATTCCTTGTGCGCCAAAACCATGGCATAAGTCCTCCATCTCCATCTCTCAGGTAAGCGCTTTAAGTCCAATTTTCGCTTTTTAAAAACTCCAACTCCAAACGCATTCCAGATAGAGACGTTTCCCCTCTTCATTTTTATTGAATGTATTCCGTGGAGGCAGTAAAGAAAAATCTTCGCACTGGCGGTCAGTAGCCTAAATTAGAGCATCAGTCCGGTTGAGGGAACTCACCTTTGGAGGATCAGTGGATTAGTGGCGAAGAGGCTGCTGTATCTCAGTGTAGGGCCGGATGAAGCAATACTCCCCTAGCTCCCACATTATATACCCTCACCCTTCAAGGTGTAACGCACACCATTTGCTCAGGGTCCGTTTTGGAAAAATGTGTCCAGTAGTCAAATTGTGATATTTTTATCCTTTCAACACGGGATATACATGCAGTCCTTGGGTGAAACGCAAGAGGGGCATTTTTGGGCTCCACGCTGATCTTGTCATTCGGCTGTATGTTGGAGATAAAATGCCTGCAATTTTTTTTTTTTTTTGTAATATGACCCCTTATCTGCAATCAGGGCAATATGGATCTTGGTGACCTCAGTGTGTTTCTGAAAATGTATAGAGCAAGTGTGACATCATAAACCAGATATTAACAATTTAGTATCCATCAAATCAGATCATTTTGTTTTGTATGATTTATATAAAAATCCAACTGTTTAAGCTACTGTACATTATAGTATTAACCATAACGGACACTAATGTATAAGCTTAATGCAAATCTATATATTCATACGATGTAGGCCTAGATTGTCTACTTCATAATTATTTTACATAGATTTGTCATTCTCATGCTAGACGATATTGTGCTTGTCATATTTGTAAACAATATAAATAAGCTCCATACTAGCACAGTCTCATTTAAACATGTTAAATGTTGTTGTTGTTGATAGAAAAATATACATTATCTTCTTGACAGTTGAAAGGTTCCCAATTTATCCGTTTATAGTAAGAAACCTAATCTCTCGTCTGCCTTCCATATATACTGTATATAAATAATCATGAGAAGAACATGACTGTGTTTGGATGATCTACTGCAGTTGGATGCTCATGAGAGGAATATAGACTTGTGTTGACTTGACTCTTTACCCTGGGCCACATGCTCATATTCATGCAAGGAGCAGCCTGTCAAGGACATGACTAGGATACATCACATACTGTCATATGAAACAGGTGCTATAATATTTATGGTCAAAGCCAGATATACTGTATTTATAAACTTTCCATCAGAGAAAGACAGCTGCAGGCGAGGCAAGGGTTATGCCAAAGACTGTTTATTTGTATTGGTTTACAATATCATATTTTCCTTAGTCAAAACTACCATACAGCATATTGCACTACTAGTACTGACAGACAGATGCTGGACCAACCCAAGAAGGCACTGAGCAGATTCACACAGACCATGTACAGCTTGTCTTCAAACTACAAGATTGTCAAAAATAAATATCTTCTTCATCTTCATCTCTTTATGAAGACATGACAAGGTTGGAGAACTCTGAAAGAGAGACACAAACTTTTTTCAATGCGTTCATTCTTAATGTTCAATATGCAGAATGTACAGATTGAATTACTTTCCAACTACATTCCAAACTGGGTTTCTGATCCAGTGATCCTTAACCCTCCCGTTGTCCTAGGGTCAAAATGACCCGCCACTGTGTTGAACGAACTTTATAGAATTTTTATATTTTTTGGATAATTTGTGAGAAGGAGGCAGTGATACTTTCTTTAAAGTCTCACTGCCTCCTTCTCACAAATGATCCCAAAAATATAAAAATTAAATAAAGTTGGTTCAACACAGTGGCGGGTCATTTTGACCCTAGGACAACGGGAGGGTTAAACTGCCACTAGAATCATAAATGCTAACAGCCGGCCCTAGCCCAGGTTGCAGCAGGTTAGCGTTTTTTGTCATTAATCTTTGTTCTGGAGAGTAGTCACTAGCTGACACAGCCACAAAGTTATAAAATCGGATTTTAAACCTAACCCTAACCTTAACCATAACCTTAACCACACTGAAAACCCTAATGCCTAACCCTAACCTTAAATTAAGACCAACAAGCAAAATAAATAATAAATTTTTACAATATAGCCAATTTTGACTTTACAGCTGGCCTATCTAAGGAGAAATAGCTCAGTTCTGCCTCCAGGACAAGAGACATGACAATACATGTCAACCTGCCTGGTTGCCTAGTAATCCTACCGTCCCAGCCTATCTTTCCGTCCCCGTCCTTGTCCCCAGCCAGGAGAAAGGCTCTGGTCTCAGCTGCTGTCAGGGGACGAGCCCCCTTAGAGAAGTTCTGGAGGAAAAGCCTAACACACACATACGCGCACGCAGACACACACACACACACACACACACACACACACACACACACACACACACACACACACACACACACACACACACACACACACACACACACACACACACACACACACACACACACACACCACACACACCACACACACACACACACACACACACACACACACACACATGAAACACTAAACACTAAAAGTAGTATTACATACAGTATACTGTAGAGTAGAGGTTTTGTGTGTTTGGTTGTATCCATCTAACTCTAAAGGATCAGAAGTCCTTGTATTAGGACACTTTTATTGAGAAACGAAAGAAAAAACAATGATTTGTATCTGCCTAGTATCTGCTGCTATTTTGATCATGGGTTCAAGTTCCCTAGAAAAAGTGTATGTTATATTGAGACTCAACTGTAGCTCGTCCTGTTCGATGTAGCCACTCTTGTCCTGGTCCAGGATCATAAAGATCTTCTCAATCTCAGGGGGAGACTTCTTGGACAAGCCCACCATCGCAAAAAACTTAGTTGGGCTGAAGGAGTCGTTTGCTAAAAGTAGAATGATGTTTGAAATGAATAGCTCATAACTGACTGAGTTTTCTTTTAACTTGCATTTCCTGAGTTTTTATGTAAACACATTTGTGAAGCCACAATCATATATACAAAATATACTGCATTTATGAGTCCCTATGGGCAAACCAACATACCTACTGTAACATTCCCCATACCATTAAGCTACAGTAGAGGTCGAAAGTGCAAACACACAATGTAGTACATCCATACCTCTGCAAGCATTGATAGCTGAAGTAATATCTGATGCAGCAAGGAAGTCTGTGAGAGCCATAAGGAAGCTGTAGCGAGATCGTGATGAAATGTAGCAGCTTGTGGTTGTATCCTAACTGATGGTGAGGTAGAAAGCTACTGATAAGAGCGATCTTATGATGCCATGGTGTCAGAAACCACCAGCGTTTCCCTGCCAAACACAGCTGCCTTCTGGGCCCACTTGATGTTCAACTAACGTAGATGTCACGGCGTCACTATGACAAAGCTTTTGTTTGGCACTTAATTAAGAGACAAAATGAAAGTGGCCCTTCTGGTGAACAGAAAGCCATTCTTACTAGCTTTCCCCCCATATAGTAGAAAGAGTACCGATTGAACCCTTTAAACATGAATATAGGATTTGTTTGAAATAGCCAGTGACAGCGATAAATGATCAGAAGTGTTGATATGTCTTTGTATTCTTGTGATTTAGTGTTTTTCCTTTACGACATGCTGGGGTAAAGGCTTATGGAACAGATAATTGGCCAGATATCGCCTGGCTTGCCTGCTCTCCTCTCTCCGTCTCTTCCTGTCTACCTCATCTCCCATTGCTCATCTCCCTCCTCTCTGCCCTCTCCCTTCTCTAAGTTTCTGGTAGCTTCCTCCCAGTGTTACAGAGCTGTCTCTCTGGCACAGGATCCCCCAGGCTTAACTATAAACATCCTGTTATTCGGAGGCCCAGTCACGTTTGGGCTTTCCCCTGCTATGCGTGTAGGCTCACTATTGTTACGGGTAGTGGTAAATCACTTACCAGGGACTTTGTTTTATGAGAATATTAGGTTTTGATTCTTCAAATCTCGAGTGTCAGTCCTACTGTACATGTTATGTCTTTGCAGTGGGGCAGACAGCTGTTCGTGCCTGATAGATGTTGAGGAAGTGTTAATGACTGATGAATGTTGAAGAACCTGTTTTACTGAACAGCCACCTGCTGGATTATTCACACATTCACAGGTGGCCAGGCTCTACTGTAGCCTATTATGTACAGTAAATGGATAATGGCCGTTGGCTTGGAAACAGTAAAGTGTAATGTTTCCTGCTGGTTCAACAGCAACTAGCTTTGGAGAGAAACATGTCGATAAAGATCTTGAACTGACCTTGACACCTTTACCCTTACATGAAACATTGGGGAATGATGACTTACAGTATCCCAACTATCCCTAATAATAAAGCTATTTCATTGCTCCCATGTGGGGGTCATTGTTGATATCAGCCCGGGG